TCATATTATTCCTGGTCATGCAGTAGGTTCTGAAGAAAAAGTAGCTATGGATAATCAGTTAAAAGAACGACAGATTCCCTGATGTGCTGATCGGTAGTAATACCTAATTTCGATTTTGAGTGTGCTGTAATGGATTACCATATAGATGCAGCTGAGCACTGAGCATTAAACAGAGTCATGTGTTTTCCAGAAAAGTAATATTTATTCACACTGTGTGGCTTTCTTGAAATATTTTTTTATTTTATTCTCCAGTGAAACTACAAACAAGATGTCAATAGCTTATGTGGCATTCACAGCAGTATAGCTTAGAATATCAGCTGCAGTACAAGAAATGCCAGATTGCATTTGCCTCACCAAAGATAGGCTCCATCTGGGACTTCTGAGGTACAGGCTTAGCATTTAGACTAGGTAGTTGTGTTTGGCTTTATATTTATTGACCCTCATAGGATTTAATCCATAAAAAACAGCCCTCACAATGTTAGTGTACAGGAAGAAGTGGCAGTATGGATATTGTTTCAGTCTCTGAATTGTTGTATTAAGTTTTGTCATTTGGGGATATATTCTTTTAAAAGAATTATTTTGATTGTGTGTGTGTGTGTGTGTGTGTGTGTGTGTGTGTGTGTGTGTGAAAGTGTTTGTGTGAGTGCATGTGCCATGGAACACATGTGACAGTCAGAGGACACCTCGTGGAAGTTAATACTCTCCTTCCATCATGTAGGTCCTGGGGATTGAACTCAGGCTGTCGGGCTTGGGAGCAAGTGCCTTTCCATTCATCCATCTTACAGGTCCTTTTAGGACATTATTACCTCAAACATTAGGCATGGTGTTTCATATTTAAACCTTAGAGAATATTTCTTAATATCTTTAGAGTAGACTCATTTATAAATCTGAATTATTTTGAGAAGTAACAATGATTGATTGTTATGACCTTAAGTGAATTGGAGATGATTTTTGTTGCAGACTTAGACAGTATGCAGACATGTTTATTCACATCTACTTGATGCATTTTCTGTTTTCTCGTGTGTGTGTGTGTGTGTGTGTGTGTGTGTGTGTGTGTGCATTTTTTTTTTTTTTTTGAGACAGGGTTTCTTTGTGTAGCCCTGGCCATCCTGGAACTCACTCTGGAGACCAGGCTAGCCTCATACTTAGAGATTCGCCTGCCTCTGCTGTCTGAGTGCTAGAATTAAAGGCATGTGCCACCACCACCCAACCTGTTTTCTCATATTAAAAGGTGCTTTTCTTTGTCATATACTAATAAAAGAAAACCAAGTGAGGAATAAAAATATGTGTTTGAGAAACTAAGAAGTATGACTCAGTGCCAGTTTGGTTGAAGAGCAAAGGGAATGTCGGACATTAATCTAGATCAAGACAAGATCCACCCTGAATTTTTAATTCACCTAGCACCTTCTTGAATAATGGTATCCAAAGGTGATCCCGCCATGTAGCTGGGAGCTGCCCTTAAAGGAGAACTCAGAAGAAGGTGTGCCATCTGCTCAAGCAAAATGACCTGTCAGGAAGCAGGCAGCAAAGCACAGGAAGACCTCCGAGGGACAGACTTCCATCTGTATGAAGCCACTTCCAGCTGAATTTGGAAGCAAAGCTGGGGGACATCTGGGCTCCTGAAGTGTGGTACACTTCTCTTAGTGTTCCAGCCTTTTAATCTGATGAGAGTAACCTAATTAATAGTTTCAGTATTGCTGTGGCACACAAAATGATGTGTTGCTCAGATTCCCCTTCAAGGGTTTGCCACCCCTTGCAAGAGTGGCACGCACTGATAGCCTCTGGCTGTGAGTGCCTCAGCCATCCAGCCCTGCTCACACTCTCTTCTCCATTAGGCTGGAGTATAGGTCTCACCTCTAGTTGTTTGGGCCTTTGCTCCAGAGCTCCCTCTCAGCTCACAGTGGCTCCCCTGCTCATCCTGTTTCCTTCCCATTCCTTCCCTGGTGCTACTCTTCTGTCAACTGTTTCTAGTAACTCCATTGTAGCATATTTTCTAAAGAACTTGTCTTGCAAATATTCTTGTTAATTTGTTACCAAAGACACTGACTGACTTTGACCCTATTGTGCTTATAGGTGGCTCTTGATTTGTTTGGTCTGGCACAGCCTAGACATGGAGTCCTTCATTTTAGTCCAATTCCAGAGTTCCAGCTTCCAGCTGGCTGTGGCTATTCATCTCTGTGGGCTCTTGCTCCCATGTATTATATTCCACAGGCATGGCATGGGGGAGTGGGGGAGCAGGTACAGGGGCACTAAAGATTATATCCTTTTGGTAGGACAAGGCTCATGTGAGTTTTAATTGTCATCCTAAAAAGCAGGACTTCCTAAACTTTTTCTACTCATGATCCTCCTTTGTCAGAGAAATTTTTACTCTACCTCAGTTATATAGGTATAAAATAGGTATTCAAATGAAACATTTATTGATAATAGATCACAAAGAAACTCATCTTAAAATAATTCTTTGATATACATATAGTTTTACCATTTATTAAAGATGGAATCATATTTGCATATTAATAAGATAGATGTGCTTATTTATTTTTACCTTAAGAATTAGAGTTGAGCAGAGTATTTGAAGTAAGATATAGAATGTCTTCAGAGTTTTTCACAGTTGATCACTGTTTTTATTTTATGACTGTCAATGCTGAGGATGCCACTCTGCATAAATACGTAGTATAAAGTAGCGGAAATGCATTAAGGCCACTTCAGAAATTGCTAGAAATGCTGTCCTAATCTTGTGCCAACGTTCATTTAATGATTTTGAACTCAACCAACAATTTTACGAATCAAGCTCACTAATGCAATACAAACCAAAGATGCACTAATTTAATGCTTATGTTCTGAAAAATGTTTGTAGGAAATAATGAAATTCTTTGTTGCCTATAATTAAACCATTGTGTTTCTATATGAGCAAAAAACTTGTATACTTCATAAAAGCACTACAGTTCATAAACATACAATAGTTTCAGATCTGAGCTGTGGTGTCTCAGGAAGTGCAGAGTGTGTGTGTGTTGTGTATTTTGAACCAAGTCTGCAGTGAAGTTGTGCAGTACAACACAGTCAAGCACTGCTTGCCATACCTTAGATTCATTCCATGTTTGATTTGAATTAGTTTTTGATTGTTGCTTGTTCAGAAACCTTGGACTGTTGCCAACTTTTTTGTAACTCCTACACTGTTAGGTGATGCTATTTGGAGTTGCACCCCATAGTTTAAGAAGCTGGCTTATAGAGAACTGACTTTTTAGGGATGAGATGTGGCTCAGTGGTAGAGCACTCGCAGAGCAACTAGTGGCTCTCAGTAGTAAGAACTGACTTTCACATCTTCTGATTCCCTTTTTAAATGTAATTTTTAAAAGCTGTGCATGGTGGCCTACATCTTCAATCCTAGCACTCAGGAGACAGAGGTAGGTGGTTATCTGTGAGTTAAAGGTCAGCCTGACTTACATAGTGAGTTCTAGGACAGCCAGGGCTACATAGAGAGATACTGTCTAAAAAAATTATTTATGTGTATGTGTATGTCTGTCTTAGTTAGGATTTCTATTACTGTGAAGAGATACTATGACCACAGCAACTCTCATAAAGGAAAACATTTAAATGAGGTGACTCACAGTTCAGAGGTGTAGTCCATTATTGTCATGGTGGGAAACATGGCAGCATGCAGGCAGACATGGCGCTGGAGAAGGAGCTGAGAGTTCTTACATCTTGATCTGCAGGCAACAGAAAGTGGTCTGAGACACTGGCCGTGCCTTGAGCATACATGGGACCTCAAATCCCACCCCCATGGTTATACACTTCCTCCAACAAGGCCATACCTACTCCGATAAAGCCATATCTGCAAATAATACCACTCCTTGTGAGTTTATAGGGGCCAATTACATTCAAACAACTGTAGTGTCTATGTATGTATGGGTGTGTAAGTGTTTATTTTTGCATGCTTATGTGTATGTCTACAGGTGTGCACATGCAACAGTGTGCACCTGGAGGTCAAAAGACGGTTGTTGGTTCTTGTTTTCCACCTAGTTTGAAGCAAGCTCTGCTGTTGTTCACAGCTGCTCACAGCAAGCTAACTTCAGAGCTTCTCCTGTCTCTGCCTCCCGTATCCCTGTAAGATTGCTGCGATTATAGACTCACGCATCTGCAGGATGCAAGAATAGGGATTTTCATCCTACAGTGATGATGTACTACCAATGCCTATAGATCTATTGGACCATTTGCAGTTTTCTATATTAAAAAAGAGTAATTGCTGGGACAGTGAATTGGCTTAGTGGGCAAAGGTACGTGCTGCCAGCCAGACAACTCACTCCAATCCCTGTTACCTACATGTGTAAAGAGAAAACTGACTCCCAAAGTTGTCCTCTGACCCCTCAACAGTAAATACAGAAATATAATGAATAGTTTAAGTAGTTATATTAAAAATAAAGAATCTTAGAATCTAAGTATAATTTACCAGAATGTGCTCTGGAGTGGGGGGTCAGAGGGATTTATGTTTTGGATTTTGTGTGTGTGTGTGAGCATAATCAAATCTTTAAAAATTGTTTGAGAATTTCATACACAAATATAATGTATTTTGATTAAATCCACTCCCTTTTCAAATTCCCCTTCAATTCCTCCCTTTCCCTGCCCAACTTCATGTGCTCTGTTTTGAAATCCATGGTATCACTTAGTACTTCTTGTTAGCATGGGCATAGGACCATTTATTGGAGCGTAGGTAGTCTCCGGGGGCCATATCCGTGAAGAGCTGACTCCCTCACTCAACGGCCAGCTTTTGGTAGTGGGGGCTACTTTTATTAGTCCAGTCTTCCTGCTCTTCAGAAATTTATTTGTTGCCCACTGATGGATACTTTCATAAGTACAATCTTAAGACCTACTTGTAGGCATTAATTTTATGAGATTTTTATATATATTTTAAACTTACACCTATTTATTTGTGTGTTGAAGGGGAGGTAAGTAATATGGGCCTATCACAAAAATGTATTTCATCTTTATAAATTTTTATTTTGTAGAAAATACTGCAGTTTCTACCTGAACGAATTTTCTTTCGATGGCATTACCAGAGTATAGGTAAGATGAAAGCAAACACTGTATCAGTGATCCGGATTTCTACCAGCTGAGGTTTCAGCAATACTTTCTGTAGCGAATACCACCAAGGTAGCCTATAGAGAATTAAAGGTGTGGTAATTAAAATCAAGTCTGGCTGACAGAGGGCAGAGAGTGAGTGACTGGAGGTGGCGGCCTGAATGCGCCATCTGTGTCATGGCTCCCCCACCACAGGCTCAGGAAATAGCGTGGAAGAGGGGGTGGAGCGACTGTGAGAGTCAGGAGTTGGGGAGGGCTCTTGGCACCATGAGCTCACAGTGGCTGCAGTTGCCTGCCCAAGCCCTGCATGAGATCAAGCCTGTTAACATAGGATGGATGAAGGAGGGAGGGGGTTAAAAAAGAGCAGAGGACATGAAGTTGGGAGGAGCTCTAGTGGGAGGGGGTCCAGCAGGAGTTGGAGCAGGGAGTGGGAAATGAATATGATCAAAAGAGATTGTATATGTGTATTAAATTTTCCATGGATACATTTTAAAAAATTAAACTTCTCATTCTAAATATGCCCTTTGAGGTGTAGCCCATGGGCTCCCCAGGAGTGTGTTAAAGATGCAGAATTTCAGGCCCCAGTTTGACCCACTGAGCATGGTGGTCTTTTAACAAGAGACACAAAAGCATTCCTGTGCATGTGAAGTCGAGAAGCACTGATCTAAAGTATTTTCTTAAATAATTGTACATTATTCTTTACCCCCCAAAAAAATTGTTCTTTAAGCCTGCATTATTGATTCAAAATTCCCATTTGGATACTTTAAGAAGTAGCAGCCAGAGGGAACTTGCATAAAGAAAGCAAATGACATTGCTGCCCTTCTGCCCAGCTCTTTACATCTGACAGCACAGTTGCAATTTAAAATGCCCAGCTAACTGGAGCCTTCCAGGGCACCCATTATGAGTTCTGTATGTGTTTTTAAAAGAGTACCTGCTTCAGTCCTACCTGTAAGACTCTGCACTTGATACAACTTTTCTTCCTTAACAGTTGGCTACCTACAGTGGAGGAAGGTGTGAGCCTTGGAATGGAATCTGACTTTATTTGATAATTAATTTCTTTCACTATTTATTGAGGGAGAGATGAACCTTTGGGGCAGAAACAAAGAGCATATCACCATTCTTGCTTTGGATAGGCCTCTTACTCCATGGGTAGAGAGATGAGAAAAGTAATTACAGTGCAATTGTTGCTGTGAGAGGCATGTAGTGGCAAGGCAGAAGAAAGATTGAATAGGTCCACCCAGGAGAAGTTGAGGGACCCTTCAAGAGAAGTCACTTCCTCCGGAGCCTTGAAAGGTGAGCAGGGCTTCCTGGTTGCGAGAGCAACATGTACAAAGTCAAAGAACTTGAAAAAAAATGGCATCATCAGTAGATATTCCAAAATCCAGAGTTCTAATCTTAATTTAGGATTGTTTCTATGAAAACAGGTAATAAACTCTTACAGAAACTGAATTTGAGTTTTGTGTTACAAATTTAAATTTAAAGAAGATAAAGCATGTGTACAATATATACCCATGGAACTTGGTGACTGAATCTTTATTCTGAGAGAGCTCCTTAATCTTTAGATCCTTCAAATAAGCAAAGAAAATTTTCCCTTAATCTGAGGAAGTTTGCCCTAGCATTTCTTGAACCTTTGTGATTATATATTTAAAATAAGGTAGAAAAAATTTTAAGATCCAAAATATCACCTAAAGAGGTACCCTGGGGATTTGTGAGATTCTGTGGTGTGGAAATGAGAAGTTAATCGTGTGCAGCTGTCTTGGCTGTTCAGGAAGAATCGTCATGGCCAGGATGAGCTAACCGGGGCCCTACTTGTCTAAGTTCATGAGGGAATGGCTGAACCCATGCTCCTATGAGCATGGAGCCAGTTCTCTTGGTTAAGCAACAGTCCCACAGCTTGGCCTTTCTTTCACCTCCTTGGTCATCTGAAACCTTGCTTTTCTTGGAGACACCTCTGACTCCCTCAGGATCATGGAGATGAGGTCATGGCCTTTCTTTATGAAGTGCTAATTCCAGAAATGGCTCAGCACCCAATCCTTGGACTGTGCCAGCTTGGTGCCATGTTGTCTCATCTCCTTTTTTTCATGATCTTGTTCTCTACTGGTCCTTCTCCTTGTTACCCATAAACTCATTGTCCTCCTCCAGCCTTAAGTGGCTTCTTGCCCTTTGTTATCATATAGATAGCTGTCTGATCACAGACTTCCATCTAGTCTCTTTTCTAGCCACCTCTAGGCCACTGTTCTGATTTTTATTATTATTTTTATAAAACAGCTTTATTGGGGGTGGAATAAACAGAATATATAAAAATTTCATGAATATAGGATCACCCCCAATTTTCCTCAACCTCCTTGGTAATACCTCTGTTCCCTTCTTCCCTACCTCAGCCCCAAGCACTAATACATTTCCACAAGATTCCCTAGATACTGAGTAAAGCCCATAAAAGAAAAAAACTGATGACTTGGATTGCTTCAAATCCACCGCTAGTCTGCCTTTGCCTTTTTTAGAGTCTTGTTTAGATGGAATCAGGTAGCACTGTTCTTTTTTTGTTTGTTTGGCATCTGCTTAGTTAGAGTTATTGTTGGCAGATGAAACACCATGACAACTTGGGGAGGAATGAGTTTGTTTGGCTTACATATCCTGAATCACTGAGGGAAGCCAAGGTAGGAACTCAAACTGGGCAGGAACCTGGAGGCAGCAGCTGACGTTTACTGGCTTGGTTCTCATGGCTTGCTCAGTTGTCGTTCTTATAGAACCCAAGACTCACCAGCTCAGGGTGGAAACCTCTATGGTGGGCAGGCCCCTCCCACATCAATCACCAATTAGGAAAATCCTTGACAGGCTTGCCTACAACCTGAGGTTATGGAGGCATTTTCTCAATTGAGATTCCTTTCTCTCAAATGACAGTAGCTTGTATCAAGTTAACATAAAACTAGCTACCACAGCATTTTTCCCGCTCTACTTGTTTTGAGATTCATCTGTATGCTATGTACTAAGAGTTCATTCCCTTTTATTTCTGAGTAGAATAGTATACCATTGTATGACTTTGCCATCATATTTTGATCCATTCTCTTGCTGATATAGTGTTCAGTTGATTCTCATATTTGGCTGTTATGCATAAACCTACTGTTAGACGTTTGTGTTCAGGTCTTTAAAAGGTAGACATAAGCTTTCCTATCTCCTGTAGAGTACACTTAACTGATAAATTGTTTTGCAGAGTGGCTGTATCATTTTATGTCCTCAGCAGTGTCACAGTTCAGTTAATAGCAGATGTTATGGTCAGTGTTTAGTTTTTGGTTGTTCTATCTCATTGACTCATGGTGTTGAACGTCTTTTCATGTGATTTATGTGTGTCTCTGGTAACATATATTTCAATGCTACCCATTTACAAGTTTCATTGTTGTATTTTCTTAATTTTTATTTTTTGAGGTTCCAGTATTTTGTATGGAAGTCTTATCAGATATATTTGCCTTGGAAATATTTTCTCTATATTTTACTGTATTTTGAAGAACAATGTTTGTTTTTTTTTTTTTTTTTTTTTTTTTTTTTGGGGTTTTTCGAGACAGGGTTTCTCTGTGTAGCTTTGCGCCTTTCCTGGGACTCACTTGGTAGCCCAGGCTGGCCTCGAACTCACAGCGATCTGCCTGCCTCTGCCTCCCGAGTGCTGGGATTAAAGGCGTGCGCCACCACTGCCCGGCGAAGAACAATGTTTTTAACTTTGAAGAAGTCCAATTTGCCATTTTTATGGGTATACTTTTTATTGTCACATCTAGGAATCTTTAAAAATATTTTATTTAATATTTATACATGCATATAATGTGTTTGGATCAAAGCTACTCCTCATTCCCTTCCCTCCAGTTCCCCCCTTTTATCTGCCCAACCACTTTTCCCTCCAAACTTCCTATACTCTCTCTCTCTTTAAAAAAATTTTGCTGAATCCTTTACTGCTTCCTGTAAGGGCATAGGTGTAGGCATACCATGCCCTGGAGCATGGCTTCTCAGGCCCACAGCCCTGAAGAGTTGACTCCCCATCCCCCAGCAGCCATCAGTTGCCACCTGCTCCTCAGATGGGCATGAGAATCTGTTATTAATACAAAATCATAAAGATCTCCTGTGTTTGCTCATGTGCGGCCCCCCCCCCCCCCCCCCCCCCCCCCCCCCCGCTGGGCTGGGATTCACAGAGATCCACCTGCTTCTGTCTCCCAAGTGCATCATCACACCTGGCCTATTTTCTTCTAGTCATTTTATGGTTATGTTTCACATTTAGGTCCTTGATCCATTTTAAAACAATTTTTTGATGAATTTTACTTCCTTCAGTGGACCACTGTTCCTGTAGAAGTGCCAGAAAATTCCGTGTTAGATCAGCAGCCAGGGGGTTTTTCTTTGTGCCCCCGACCTTCCTTGCCTGTGAAAGGACCAACTGATGGTGTGTGGTATTGCTCACTTTAGTGGTTTGAGACATGAGGCAGAGAACAAGTTTTTAAAGAAAAAAACAAAATAAAAATAGGAAAGAACTTTGCACAGTTAAAGTTAGATTAAAAACATCTGTATGAACTTTTAGCTTGGAAAATATTTTTTAAAATATCTTTAAAAGATTGTCATTTGTGGCACTTCTAATCGCAGCACTCAGGAAGGAGAGTCAGTTGGATCTAGCAAGTTCCCTGCCCTCCTGAGCCACTGAGATATCTCTCTACCCCTGGTTACTATATTTCAGAGATATTACACTATGAGATATGGCCAACATCTTAAAATCCAAGTTTTTGGAAAGAGAAAGGAGCAACCGTGTGTGGATGGATAATTCTGCTCTCAGAAGACATGGTAGACGACACAAGACCCCAGTGTGAGGTGTGGAACCTCCTTGTAAATTGTTCCTCAGAGAGGCCCCAGAAGCCCCCACCCCCAACAGTACAAGCCATAGTGCTGGAAGGTGCTGTGCAGATTCCCGAAGAGAAAAGGGCTCAACAGTCTTCCCCAGCTGGGAGCCCTACAGACTGGAACGCTGGCCTGTCACTCAGGATGTGCCCACTGTGTGCAGTTATCAACTGCTCTAGTTCACATGCACAGGGCACACTAGGAGAAGTCGGGCCTGACAGTGCCTGTGTCTGGAATCTCAGTGCTCTTAGGGGGAGATAGGAGGCACTGTGAAAGCTACCCAACCAAGAGGAAGTTCCTGGCTCAGCTTCAGCTTGATTTCTCTATCTCCTGCATCCAAAAGCATGTGAAATCTTCAGTAATAGGGTCTCACCATTTAGTTCTGGTGGACAACCAAGAAGAATAGCAACAACGTGTTGTTTGGGGACCTCTAGTGACTCTCATTTTATGAGATTTTTTTAATCTTTCTGGGCCTGGGTGACTGACCCACTCAGTCTAATTTTCTCCAGCTCCTCTCATTTACCTGCACATTTCATTTTTTCTTTAAAACTGAATAAGATTCCAGTGTGTGTGTGTGTGTGTGTGTGTGTGTGTGTGTGTATCTTATTTTTGTTATTCATCCATCAGTTGATGAACATCTAGGCTGGTTCCATTTCTTAGCTATTGTGACTAGGACAGCAATGAGATGGATGAGCAAGTATCTCTGTAATAGGCATGTCTGTCATTTGGACTTTTTAAAAAGACTTTTTAAGAGGTTCATACTCAAAGTACTACTATATTTAAAATTATCTTTTCTCCTGTGAGGTTGCTTGCCTTTGAAGGTCAGTCTTATATTTTTCAAAAGGCATGCATTTTTTTCTTTTCTAAAGCTGATCTTTAAACAGATATTTTGAGGACTGTTGTGTTAAGAATGCTTGCTGCTCTTGCAGAGGACATGGGTTTGGTTCCAAGTACCCACACATTGGATGGCTTACATTTGGCTGTAACTCTAGTTCCAGGGGATCCAGTGCCCTCTTCTGGCTCTGAGGTCATCTGCACTAACAGTGCACACACATACATGTACCTGCATGCACACATACATTACATTTAAACATTTAAATAAAAATAGAATAAAATAAATATAGATATTAAGTATTCCCTTTTATACCTTAAATATTTATTTGTATACTCTATTTCTAATCAGTTGTTTTAAACTTCCAGGCTCAACTTTAAAGAAGCTTCTACACACTGGAAATTCTATTAAGGTAATCATTTCTGATGAAAGTATAATGGAATATTTCTTTAATTTTTTTTTAGATTTATTTATTTTATTGTATGTGTTTGAGTGTTTTACCTGCATGTATGTATATGCACCACATGTGTCCTTGGTGCCAGCAGAGGTCAGAAGAGGGCGTTGGATCCTCTGGAACTTGAGTTATGGATGGTTTTGATGAAGGCTGTGGGAACTCCTCCCGTATGTTTCATTTGCATCTGATAACACATTGTAAATCCTCATTTACAAATGTGTTTTCTTTTATTGACATCTTTTTAATCATTTAGGAATACAGAAAAGGAGGACTGTGTGTTTTGAATTCTAAAAATAGGGTAGAGATGGAAGTGAGTGTAGCGTGAAAAGCGTTCATTTTCTGTTGGGTACTGCTCACCATTCAGATCATGGTGAAGGTGCAGGAGGGAGCCGAGTACAGACACGAGGCAGGGAAGCTGGACAGCAGCCCATGTCACTCAGCCAGCTCTTCAGAGTTCCATTAGCTCCAAAGAACATTATGTTAACATGACTGAAATTCTGCTCTGTTCTCCCCTAGTGTAAATGTGGAAGGAGAGTCTCTCTGACATTGCTCCCATGGACAATTGAGCATTGATGATGGGGATATTGTTGCCTTACAAAATGAAATACTATTAATAGTTCAGTGGGAGCCAGACACTGCCTTTTGTGCTGTATGCAAGTTAACTCACTCAATCCTCCCATTTCACAGATGGGACAACTAAGACACAGAGAAGTCAAATGATTCTCCATGTATCACAGCTAGACAGTAGCAGAGGGTGAATTTGAACCCAGGCTCCCTAACTCTCGTGCCCAAGCTTTTAGCCTTTGTACTACATTGCATCCTTGCTTGTTAGTGAAGGAAGAGCTTGTGTACTTTAATGATACTTTTGTCCCCTCCCCTTCCTTCCCTTTCTCTCTTTTGGAGGTGGGCAGGATCTTGCTTTGAAGCTCAGGCTGGCCTGAAACTTGAGATTTCTCCTGTCTCAGACTCCCACATGCTGGGATTACAGATGTTATACCACCATACCACACGTACACTCTCTCTTTTTCTTAAGACTGATGCTGCTCTACAAATAATGTATTAAATGTTTGATTTTTGTTGCTTTTAATTTTGTTTTTAGATAAGATGTGAAGGAATCAGACTGTTTCTTTTGTGGCTTCAAGCACTTCAGACAAACTGTGCGGAAGAGCAGGTGCTGATTTTTGCTTGCCTGGTGCCTGGTTTCCCAGCGGTCCTGTCATCCAGGGGGCCCTGTACACTGGAGACACTCATCAACCCTAGCCCTAGTGTAGTTGATGGTAAGCAGCATTAGCAGGGTTGACATGCTGAAATGACTCTGTTAATTTTTAGTGTTAGGTGTGTGTGTGTGTGTGTCTGTGTGTATGTCTGTGTGTGTGTCTGTGTCTGTGTGTATGTGTCTGTAAGTGTATGCCTCATGTGAATGGGTACCCAAGGAAGCCAGAAGAGGACTCCAGATACCCCAGGAGCTGGAGTTACAAGTGATTGTGAGCCACCTGACATGGGTGCTGAGAGCCAAACTCGGGTCCTCTGGAAGAGCAGCTAGTCAAGTGCTCTGAACTTCTGAGCCATCTCCCCACCTCGAAATTACTCTTGAGCTTACCTTGAGGGTTTCCTTGGTGTTGATGTTCTTGAATAGAAATTCTGATGAAGCTGAGGAGGAATGATTCCTTGTGATTCACAGAGGATTCCTAAAGACATTATAATGAAAGCCATAGTTCAACCCATAGTACCACAGAAAAGAATAAAAAACTTAGGGTACAGGAAGTGGTGGTATAAGCCTGTGATCCCAGCACTTGAAGGTGGAGGTGAAGGTGGAGGTGGAGGTAGGAGGATCAGGATTTTAAGGTCAGCCTTAATTACCTACCTAAAAAGTTTGAGGCCAGCCTGGGCTATGTGAGAGGCTCTGTCTTAAAAAACAAAACAAACAAACAAACAAATAAACCAGAACAAAAAATCTGGAGCCTATTTTCTATTAAATTATAATGAGAAAATTTCTGAAGTAACAGAAACAGGAATGGAATGCAGGAGGCAGATGTTGGCTACAGTGTGAAGTAACAAGTGTTTCCTGTGAGCTAATGAAATGTAAATGTCTTCCCTAACCTCTGTCTGTTGTTCTTGTCACTGTTGTTTCTTTAAGAGGCCATTCATCTTACTTTGCCAACTGTGTTTTTCCATGTAACATTTACAGAAGGACAGTAGTGACCTCATTGGACTATCTGTGTCCTGTGAGTGTGAACTTGCTGTGTAACCCTTCATTGCGTTGGATTTTAGGCTGACCAGGACAGAATTTGAATGGAATAGAATGGTCCAGAGGAAGGAAAGGCTCTGTGGACCTCTATACTGGGCCCTAAGCCCTTGTTCATACTGGCTTGGGGTTCAGTCTGAACAGTTCCAGTGACTGGATAGATGTGTTGTAATAGAGACCAGTTTTAAACCCTTATTTAAAATTTGACTTTGATGAATAAGCTCTCATTATTTTTTACCTTTTAGCAAAAATATACCCAGAAGAAATCACCCCACTTCTGCCAGCCGTATCAGGGGAGAAGATCGCTGAGGACCAAACATGCTTTTTTCTTCAAATACTGTTGAAATATATGGTTATTCAGGTCAGAGGAAAACCAAGCTGTCTCCCTGATGGGTTTGTTTTTGTAGGAAGGAGAGTTACTGCTTCTTTTCTTTCTATGTGTCTGTGTTGCTTTCCCTGAAGTGATTTTCTGTGGCGATTCATTAAATGCAGGGCATACATCATTGCTGGGCCACTTCAGAAAGTCTCCATATGAGTACTTTTATGTGTGAATTATTTAAGGTATCTTTACTTAAAAAAAGTTATGCATCCTTTGGCGATTTCATATACAAATACAGTATATTTAGATCATCTTCATGCCTCTGTCTGCCACCTCTTCCTGTCTCCCCTGCTCCTCCATCATCCTTCCAACTTCATGTCTCCTTCTCCTTTTCTTCCTTTTTTTTTTTTGAGTCAGAGTCTCACTGTGTAGCTAGCTCTGGCTGGCCTGGAACTTGCTATGTAGACCAGGTTGGCCTCAAACTCCGCCTGCCTCTGTCTCCTGAATATGCCACCTTACCCAGCACCTCTGTTTTAAAATAGCCCACTGAATATAATCAGAGCTGTACAATTAGGTGTGCATAGGTGTAGGGCCATCTGTTGGATCATGGGTAGCCTCCCATGGGCCATGGTGCTGAAGAAAACCGACTCCTCTTCACCCAGCAGCTATCATCTGCCAAAAGCTCCTTCTCTGCCCATTTTAAAATGTTGACTGGCTTGACCTTGTGCAGGCAACCACAGCTGCTATTTTGTCGTAGTCTTTCCTGACCTCTGACATTTAGAACTTTCTACTCTTTCTTCCAAGATGTTCCCTGAGCTATGGGGAAAGGGGTGATACATACAGGTGTTCTATTTGGGGCTGAGCATTCCACAGTCACTTATTCTCTGTACTTTGAACAGTTGTGAGCCTCTGTACTAACCACCATCCACCATATGCAGAAGCTTTTCTGATGAGGGGTGTGAGGTGTGCTAACTATAGTATTTAGAAGGCAGTTTGATAATATGTCCCTTTAGCAAAATAAGTAGGATCTGCCCTAGGGCCTGTGATACTCAGTCATGGGTTCTTGGTCAGGTTTACAATATCTGGAATTTGTATCATCTTTTGAGCTTTGTTGAGATATGATTTCATTATATTATTACCAATAGTGTCATTTAAACATTGATAATAGGAATTTTAATCTAATATCATTTCATGTTTGTGTATGTTAATTTAAACTGTAAATATACAAATATCCTTTCCCGCATATTATCCAAAGGCTGCAAGCTTGGAGTGGAAGAATAAGGAGAATCAAGATACTGGTTTTAAATTTCTTTTTACATTGTTTCGAAAGTATTATCTTCCTCATTTGTTTCCATCATTTACTAAGTTAACCAACATCTACAAACCTGTACTTGGTAAGTACTCTTTTATTCCTGTATGGATGTCATCCACAGGGAATCTGTACAGTAGCTTTCATAGTAATCCCTGTGATATTTTAAAGCAAAATAGTCACTTTATGTTCATATTGAATGGTAATATTGTTGTGAGAAGTTAAAGTTACCTAATGAATGAGTCAATTATGTAAACTCATTTAGAGATTTTTGCCTCATGGAAATAAAGAGAACCATGGTTTATATAAAAATAATTTAAAACATGTCATGATATTTCTTTATGTTTGACACCTTTTAATGTCATATTTTGCATTTCTTAGTCTTCTCTTATGGGTGATGAGTTATAGTGATGTCAGACCCTGCTCAATGGTTAGGCCGTCCAGCCCGGGACACACAGTTGCTGGAGGGATGCACTTTATGTTGGGGCTTTTATCTACCAGGATACTAGCAGGTGCTTGTAGAGGGAGATGCTTGAGTGATATGATAGTCTAGAGACAGGCGGTCCCAGAATGCTGCTGAAACAGAAAGGAACATTTAACTTAGCTCCTAAATTTTCCTTTTATTGGGATTAGGATTAGGATTCACAGGATGAAGTAATCCCTTACAGTGGTGAAAGTGGGGACAAATCTTCTCCCTATAAAAACATGAAATTAGTTAGATGGATAATCAAGAATAGCTTTGGAGGAGAAAAGATCACAAGGGACTGTACTCTCTCTGTAGGGTGTGCCCGACTAATTCAGCTGAATTTGCTGTGACACACACGCACGCACGCACGCACGCACGCACACACGCACACACGGACAGACACACAGACACAGACTCACAGACACATGAGAAGGGAGAATATCTGAAGCCTGATGCATTTTAAAAAATCTAGAATAACTGACTAATGGGGTACCGTAACCTGTATTTTGTTATATATATATATATATATATATATATATATATATATATATATTATAATTTTTTCCAAAATTTGTTTCTGACTTTATATGTTGTCTGTATTCATTGTAAAAGCACTATACATTGTTGTTACTAGGTTGAAAGTTACGTATTGAAACTGGTCATGGCGGCCCATAACTGCCCTCCTAGGCCTTGGAAACTTGAGACAGGAGAATTGTGAGTTAGAAGCCAGCTTTGGCTACATGTAGAGATTTTATATTGAAAAAGAATAACAAAAAAGTTATTTATTGTCATTATTTTAGCTTCACCAAGGTACTCCAGGAATCTAGGAAGTAGTTAAGATACAGGGTAGGACTTACAGTAAGTTTCTGTCTCAAATCCAGCCTTATAGTATTCATAGTTGATGACACTTAATGAAGACTGAGTTTCTGAGTTCATTTAGATGAAAAGTTTTGGCTTCCTAAGTGTAGGGATTATAGACTTATACCACAATGTCTAGCTTTAGATTTTTTTTGTTTAAGTTCATATTTGCTTTTGTTCCAGTCATAAAATAGCATTAAATTAGCTATAGCGGAAATGAAGATATATTCACTATTGTAGTCTCAAATAATCTTCAGAATTGTTAATGAGAGAAATTAGCATGGTGGTATACTATTGCAGTATGTAGGCAATAACAGCCACCTCTTTATTTATATTGTAAGGCAAAATCAGAATCAAGCCTTCTAGAAGTTGTTATTTTGTAAACATTTATAGGTCTTCATTATTAGTTGCTATTTAAACAACCAAATACATGTTTATTAATTGGAATCATTTGTATGGATCATGTAATGTTGAGATTCACTAACTTAATTGTGTATTCTTTTTCTTTCTATCAGAAATTCCTCATTTGAGACCAAAGCCTGTATATGTTACTGTAACTCGAGATAATGAAACAATTTACAGTACAAAAATTCCATACATGGCAGCTCGTGTTGTTTTCATTAAATGGATTGTAACTTTCTTTTTGGAAAAAAAATATCTAACTGCAACACAAAACACTAAAAATGGAGTTGATGTATTGCCTAAAATCATCCAGGTATGCCAGCCATCATTTTAAAATCTTTCTCTTACATAATAAACACAGCCCCACATTAGCAAAGTAACTGATAGTTAGAGCTGTGGTTCTTGTAGGTTTTGATTTACTGGCTCACCTGTGTGCAGGGCTGAGGTTTCAGAGGGAGCTTTGGTCTGAAGCACTTGCCACACAGTCCTGGAATTGCTGCAGAAAGGCAGTCTCAGGGGCAAGGAGAACTCTGAGAAGACAACTCTCATGGGTAATCTCGTGCCTCCCTTCTTTCTGCTTTGCTTACGTGTTGTATCTTCTGAGCACAGGCATAGGCTCTTGTCTTTTCTTCATCAGTCACCAGTAGCTGGAAGGCCATCAGGTTATGTAGATGTGGCCTATGGAGAGAGTTCATGCTGTTGTGTATCTTCTGGCTTCTGAGGAGAGGGCTTGGACTAGCAGCTCAGGATCCTGGGGTAGCTGTTGCTTCATGATGCTGTTCCTGGAAAGAAGTCTGCCTCTGTCTGAAGCCTTCATAAAGACTTCTTAGGTAGGAGGGTCTTTGGTATGTGTACTTGGTGGAGCACCACTGTTTTCAGAGCTTAGAGAGCAGTCGCATTAATGAAGGGTCATGGTTTTGTGTAGGTTGATTATTATTGTTTGTTGTCTCCAAGAACAGGACCAGCAAGTGTAGTGCACTTATTGAAGATTTGCTGATGTCAAGGAGGTTCCAGAAATAGGACATCGATCCAAGCTGGAGAAACAAGCTGGAGGAAGCAGAACAGTAGTTGGTGTACTTCAAGGTCATTGGTGCCTTGGTGTGAAGAGTTACACCATGTAGTCCAGAGCCTGTGGATCCACTGTAGAGGACTTACTGGAGGCCCAGAGGGCAAACTTGTTTTCAAAAGAGTCTCAGGATCGAATTTCAATAAGAATAACAGAGGGCTTGCTGAAAGATAGTTCAAAACAAAACAAAACCCCTTAATTTTGTACTTTGGAAGTTAGAAGATGAAATGAAAATGGTAATGGTTGTATTTATTTCCTTAAATTTTTTATTTCAAATTTAAAATATGATATTCTTTCATAGATCTGAAGTGAGTGAGCAAGTGTGGTGGTATACACTTTTAATACTACCACTTCAGTGGCAGAGGTAGGTGGATGTCTGTGAGTTTGAGGCCAGCATGGTCTACAGAGTGAGTTCCAGGAGAGCCAGGGCTGTTACCCAGGAAGCCCTGTCTCAAAATACCAAAACCAAACCAAACAAACAAGCAACCACCAAACAAAACAACAAAAACATTACTGTCCTTGTCAAGGTGATCAAAACTGTTTTCAATCAATGCACTAGTTTTATAAAAGATGTTTAAAAGTATTTTAAAGTCTGTTTCACAATAGAATTCACTCTTTTTGCTGAATATAAGGTGTTTTTGGTTTTCTGTTCCCCAAGTGAAATAATGTTCTTTTCTTGGTCTAGAACTTTTTTTTTTTAAAGATTTATTTACTTATTTATTATGTATATAGTGTTCTGCCTGTATGTGTGCCTGCAGGCCAGAAGAGGGCACCAGATCTCATTATGGATGGTTGTGAGCCACCATGTGGTTGCTGGGAGTTGAACTCAGCTGGAAGAGCAGCCAATGACCTTAACCACTGAGCCATCTCTCCAGCCCCCTAGAACTTGTTCTTTTGACAGGGAGAAACAGCTAATAATGTGCCTTTTAGACTTAGCTTCCCTAGCACTAGGTAAATCTGGCCTTACAGATTTTCTTGTTCGTGATGTGTTACTTAGCTCTTTGTTACTCTTGCAAAATACCTGAAATAGTCAACTTAAAATGTTTATTTTGGCTCATGCTTTAGAAGTTTTGTCCATGGTCATTTAGTCCTGCTGGTTTGATTTTGTCCATCAGGGATTGAAAAAAATTGATATAGCCAGGCAGCTGAGCATCTTTATATGTATAACTCTTTAGTTATATTAATAAAATATCACTTTTACTAATTCTGAGCCAGTTCTTGCAATGATCTACAGGCTCTTGGGACAAATGGGTGGAACAGTGACACACACAAGCTGACATCTCTGCAGTTTTAGACATTTGTTTGTGGACTCCTTTTTGTTTGTTTGTTTTGTTTTGTTTTTTCGAGACAGGGTTTCTCTGTGTAGCTTTGCGCCTTTCCTGGAACTCACTTTGTGGACTCCTGTCGTATGTTCTCTGTTGTTCTTGAACTTGGCAGAGGCAAGGCTCGGATGTGCTGAGCATGTTGGCAGATCAAGATAGAGGAACGAGTGGCATCACACTCAGGCACCACCAACAAAACAACGAGACATCCCCCTGAGAGTTGCTTTGTGGGTGGTGGGTGTCCATGTTTAGGCTAACCCTGAGAATGAGCATGTCTCAGTATGCGCTGTGGGATTGAGAGGGTACCAGGGTGGCAGAGAAATTTACGTGGGGAGTAAGTGACAGTCCGTGTTATGTGGTTTTCTGAACCATGGTAGTGCTGGCCTGGTCCTGGTAGGTGTCTCTGTTTTGCTGACAAGGCTTTTTCATGTGCCAGGGGACATCAGGATGGACTCATACTAACAACAGCTTGGAATTCCAGCTTGATTCTAGTGGTTGGAAGACAGACCTCCTTCTGAAGCCAGTTCTTCTTACTTATACAGCTTTACCCACTGAGCCATCTTCTTGGCTCTGTGGCCTGATGCTACATAATTCTTCCTGCTGTTTTAGTTATTTCATTGCTGTGATATAAACCACCTCAAAACTTAGTGTCTGAAAGCAGAAACCTTTCAACCTTATTTTTTTATTTTACTTTGTGGGCCAGGATCTGGCTTAGTACATCTTGTGTATTTCATGGGCCTTGGGTGGTGACCTTTAGCTGGTGAATGGTTGGTCTGCAGGATGTAAGATGACTTCATTCACATGCCTATTATTGCCAGTTGGAAAGAAGCCTGGCTCATCTTGAACTACTCTATACTGTTTCACTAGCTGGGTCATTGGATTTCTTATATGGCCACTGGGGGCTCCAGGAACAAAATGCTTTAAGAGATGGAAAATGTTAACTGTTCATCTTTTGGGCCTGGACTGGTGACTCTCATGCTTTTGTTATAGGTAGTCTTCAAGTTTTCACACTCTGTGAGAGTAGAGTAAGTGAGTAAGTGTGGAGTGCTGGTGTGATGATGACACACATTGCTTTTACACATTAGCTTATTTTGTGGTTTCACAAATGCAAATTCAACTTTTTAGCTGACAAGATTTCACAGCCCTCTTCCCTGAAATAACCTAGTAGTTTTCCTGTTGAAGTCACTGAGTTGAGGAATAATTACTTGGTTAATTAGAAAATTGCTAAGTAGAGGTTCAGGAGTCATGCTTCAGGCACCTTCCTGTACCCTGTGCAAGTTGATGGTAATCAGAGTACTTGGAAATAAGGCAAGACCTGGATCTGGGGATGTAGATCAGTGGCAGAGCACATGCTCACATATGTGAAATGTAGGTTCCTTCACTAGTACTGCAACACTCACAAATTCCAAAAGGCAATGAGCAAGACCAGACTCACATTTTGCTAGGTGCTGGTGAGTGAGGATGTGGATTGCTAAGACGTGTGATGACATTTTCCAGACTGTTGGTGGTGGTGCAGCACAAGAAAAGGTGCCAGAGCTGGATGGTGCTGGGTCCACAGAGCAGGACAAAAGCCATTCTAACAGTAGCACCTTGTCTGACCGAAGACTCAGCAACTCCAGTCTTTGTAGCATTGAAGAAGAGCATCGAACGGTGTATGAAATGGTGCAGCGGATCCTCCTGTCCACACGGGGTTATGTGAATTTTGTGAATGAAGTATTTCGACAGGTCAGTGTATGTTATACATTCATGAAGTTGAAGTCTCTTTGTTCTTGAGTTAGTCAGCTTCCCATTGCTCTAACACATGCCTGGGGGCATCAGCTTAAACAGAGGAGGTATATTTGTCTCAGTGTCAGAGGTCTCAGTCCAGGGTCACTTGGTCCTGTTGCTTTGGTCCTGTGGCAGGGTGGTATATTAAGGTAGGGACAGGAAGCAGGTGAGGCCTGTTTACCTTATGGGTGGGTGTGAAAAAAAGAGATCAAGAGACTGGAGTCCTACAGTCTTCTTTGAGGGCACACTCTGCCATGACCTATAATACCCCATTAAGCCACACCTCTTGAAGTTTATGCTGCTTTTCAATAGTGCCAAACCAGAACCAAATCACACATGGGCCCAGGGGAGGATGGGGGCATTCCAGATCCAAACTGTAGCATTGTTGTTTTATTTATGACACAGTAGGCAATAGTATTGATGATTTGGCCTAATTTATAGAACTAAGTAATGACCCTTCCAGGCCCACTTTTAGTTTGTCGCAAGTTTTTGACTCACAAAAAAGTTTTTTTTAATCACTAAATAATGAAGGAAAATTCGCCGGGCGGTGGTGGCGCACGCCTTTAATCCCAGCACTCGGGAGGCAGAGCCAGGCGGATCTCTGTGAGTTCGAGGCCAGCCTGGGCTACCAAGTGAGTTCCAGGAGAGGCGCAAAGCTACACAGAGAAACCCTGTCTCGAAAAACCAAAAAAAAAAAAAAATAATAATGAAGGAAAATTCATCAAATACTTTCATGTTTCCATGGCAAACTCAACTTAGGTAGGTGGATAGAAAGCTATTCTTGGTACTTAGCACCAAGTGAACCCAGTGTTCCCAAAGCTTCAGAGCTCACATAACCCAGAGGCTCTCTCCAAAAGCTGTTCTTTCCCTGAAACATTGTGTCACATGAGTATGTGATAGAAATACTTGTGGCACAGGAGAAAAGAGATGGATGAGAAAGAGAGTAAAGGAGAGAAAGGCTTTGTGTCTAGGACCCTGGAATATCATACCTCAGAAAGGAAAGTGCTGGGAAGAACTGAAGCAGGAAGCAGGAAAAAGCAAGGGAAAGAGAAGGAAGAAATCGGAAGCCAGATTGCAGTAGTGATGCCCAAGGTTTGCAGCAGGGTTGGTGCTCCTGAGTGGGACCCAGCAGGCTGCAGTAGTGGTGCCCGAACTTAGCAGCAGGGTTGGTGCTCCTGAGTGGGACCCAGCAGCCTGAGGTAGCGATGCCTGAGGTTTGCAGCAGGGTTGGTGCTCCTGGGACACAGCAATGTCTGGGATTGATTTTGACTGGCATCTTGTGGCTAGACAACTTTATTACATTATAAATTTATCTTATAAAGGATGTACCACTGAACTATGATAAAAGCCTGTAATCCCAGTATTTGGGAGGTGGAGGCAGAAGGGTCAGTTTAAAGCAAGCCTCAGCTACACAGCTTGAGGTTACCCTGGGCTACATGAGACCTTCCTTGTCTCCGAAAACAAACTAAGTAACTGACTAACTAAATAAACGTATCCTTATCAGAAATTGATTAGGAAACATAATATATAGGGTTGTTTAATTTTAGTTTTGTATTTAGCAAATCCTTCATCTTAGTTCCACAGCCTTAGTACTTGCTTTGTTAGATATTATTGTGCCTGCTTTTTGTTTGTTTGTTTGCTTTGTTTTTGTATTTGTTTCTTGTCATTGAGTGGTTTCAAGAAGGTATCCCAAAATTCACTTTCATTGGTCCTTTGAAAATAGTGAATGTAGGTTTTTTTGTTTGTTTGTTTGTTTTTGTTTTTCGAGACAGGGTTTCTCTGTGTAGCTTTGGTACATGTCCTGGATCTCGCTCTGTAGACCAGGCTGGCCTCGAACTCACAGAGAGCTGCCTGGCTCTGCCTCCCGAGTGCTGGGATTAAAGGCGTGCGCCACCACCGCCCAGCCTGTTTTTTTTTTCCTTGTACGTGTGGCCAGAAACTTAGCTGAGTGTAATAATCTTAGGTCACTCTTGCACTTAGAAATTTGTAACCAGACCTCTCTTGACATGCAAATCAGAGCCAGGAAGACTTTATAAGGACTTCAGTTCTAAAACTGAAACTTAGGGATGAATACATTTAACATTTTAAAGATAAACTTGAACATGTTTGCAGTAAGCAGGAAACTATAACATCTGACGAATACATACTAAAAAAGGAGAAAACATAATTTAAAATGAATAATAGTAATAATTGGGGTGTTTATTACAACAGAAGAAAACCTCAGTGTATAGTCTTAATAGCAGAATGGAGGCAGCAGAAGATAGACCAAATTGGGTGAAGAAATGGTCTTGCACCTACCTCAGAGTGACAGAGGTGAAGTGGGACAGGTTGGAGCAGGAGGCTCTAATGAGCAGGCCTGATACTTTTCTCACCTCTCTCTCAGCTCTGCTCTGCTTTTGTTTGCTTTCTATCCAGTGAGAATATCCTGCTATAGCTGTAGATGATCCTTTTTTTCCTTTGAAAGTCTGAGTGTTTGCAGGATTTTTACATAAGCATCAGTTGCAACATAGCTGTGTATGCTGGCTAGTTTTATGTTAACTTGACACAAACTAGAGGAGGGAGCCTTATTTGAGGAAATGCCTTAAGACTGGGCTACAGGTAAGCCTGTAGGGCATTTTCTTAATTAGTGATTGATGAGAGAGGGTCTATTCCATTGTGGGTAGGGCCACCCCTGGGCTGATGGTCCTGAGTTATTTAAGAAAGCAGGCTGAGCAAGCCATAAGGAGCAAGCCTGTAAGCAGCACTCCTCCATGGCTTCAGCATCAGCTCCTGGCTCCAGGTTCCTGCCCTGTTTGAGTTCTTACCCAGAATTCTTTCAGTGATGGACAATGATGGGGATGCACGAGCCTAATAAATCCTTTCCTTCTCAACTTACTTTTGGTCACAGTGTTTATCATGGCAATCGACACCCTGAGTAACACTGCAGAAAGTCAAGTTTTGTTGCTCCCTGGTGAAACCGAACATTTGAGAAAGAGAAGGTGATGGGGACAAGAAGAGCGTTATTGGCAACAAGCTGGAAAGTTGGTAGATGAGGACTCTGGGGTTCTTAAAAAAAAAAAGAAGAAATCATCTTGTGAGGGGTTGCAGGTACAAGACTTTATAGGGATTGATTTTGGGCAGGGACATGGGGTAGGTAGGCCTTTGAAATGGTAGGAAAGACAGTAATTCTGAATTTTCTGTAGTTTGCTTTTCTGTTCCACATACTGTTGGTATCCATAAGTCACCAGAGGTTCTGGGCTTGTTCTGTACATCTAAAGAAAAGTTGCTGATTAAATAGCTTTATGTCCCATGCCATTTTAAGTCCTTTTCCTAGGAATAGCTAACTCTGTAGTTAGGAAAGTGTGGAAGGCATCTTTCATCACAGGATAGCCAAAGGCATCTGTCTCTGGAGAACAGGGGAAGATAGCTAAAAGAGCATCTTTCCCTGAGTAAGATACTGAAATGAAACCTTCCATGAAAGAAAGAATTTTAACCACTAGGTCACTTCATCCAGAGGTGTCCTTTGTAGCAAAGCTGGAGGGAGACCTGCAGTGGACTGCTCAACCGTGTGGCCACCAAACTCAGGAATTTTTACGATGGACTAAAAGCCATGTGTTAAGTTAAAGTTTGCCCTCGGTAGCATCAGTATACATTGAGTTATTATGTGTTCCTGTGCATTGAATAGTGCATTCAGAAGCTTCCAGCTTTTTAAATTTATTTTTAAGTTAAAATGTAATCACAGCATTTCTTCATTTCCCTTTTCTCCCTCCAACCCATCCCATATCCTCTTTCTAACCACCCATGTCCTTCCTCCCTGTAGCCAGAAGTTTTCCTGTGGTCTCGCCCGGCCCCATGAGGTCCAGACAAATCTCTCTCACCCGAGGTCCCACAGCTGCTTGTAAAATAATCATTCAGAGGCTTAATATTAATTATCAACTGTATGGCCATGGCCTGTGGCTCAAGCTTCTTGGTAGCTAGCTCTTGATAACTAAACTCAGACCATTTCTATTAATTTATGTCGCCACATGTTCTGTGGCTTTACCTGTGTGCCATTACATGCTTGGATTTCCCACCTGCCTCTAAGCTGCCTTGCCATAGGCCAAAACAGCTTTATTTATTAGCCAATAGGAGCAACACATGTTCACAGCATACAGAAAGACATCCCCCAGCACCTCCCTCCCCCATTTCTTTTTCCAATTGAGTCCTTTTTCTTTGATCATTACTGTTACATGCATGCACATGCCCATACAAATATCTAAATACAACCCACTGAGTCTGCTTTGTTGTTTGTGTGTATATGATTCCAAGGCTGGTCACTTTCTGTTACATAACCAGTTGGGGTTGGGGGTTGGGGTGCTCAGCCCTGGGAGAGGGGTAATTCTTCCTCTCAGCAGCCTTACTTACTTATAGTTCTTTATCTAGATGTGGGACTATGTGAGATTTCCTCCTTTCCAAGTTAGCATGCCTGTTGATGTTCCTGTTGATATTGTCATTGCTCAGGTTTTGTTCAGGCTGCCATTTTTAGAAAATACAATCACTAAGCAGACTTACTGGTCCTCTGGCTCTTACAATCTTTCCACCCTCTCTTCCACAGTGTTCCCTGAGCCTTAGGTGTAGGAGTTGTGTTAAAGATATATCTGCTGGGCCTTGGCTCCCCACAGTCCAGTGATCCAATGGTATCTACTTGTAGTTTTCTGTGATGGTGTCCATCTGATGTACAGAAAACAGCATCTTCCAGTTATATAAGTACAATGTTTTTCAAAGTCTGTCTTGCGTATACTTAATATGGCTCTACCAGTTGTCTTCTGGTTAGTGTTTACATGATACATGTTTTTCAGACTTTACTGTCTACATCCTCCCATGGACATATGCTATGGATTTCCCTTACAAATTGCAGGTGTTTTTTTTTTTGTTTGTTTGTTTGTTTTTTAACTTTTTCTTAAAAATAGTGTTATAATCTCTGCCTTTTGATTGCAGCTTTATTCCATGTAACATAGTAACTGCTTTTCTTGGATGTAAATCAGCCGTCGTACTTTTACTTTCTAATTGTACCAAAGGTTTTTTGGCTAGTTGTCCTTTTCTCTCCAGTACTTAACGTGTGTGGTAGGTTTTACAGTCACCTGCAGTTAATTAGTGGCCGGCATCATGCCTCTCTAAACTAAAATCTATTCTTGTTTTCAGCAGAAGTTCAAGTTCACCCTATTTATTCCTTTTCAGCTGATAGGATTTTGTAATATATTTGAATTCTACATTATAAAATGAATGTACGTGTATATATATCTATAATATCTATAGATATATATATATATCGTACTTTTCAGAACTACTGTATTATGTTATATAACATATTTACACATGCCCTATTCATTTAGAATTATACAAGTGCCCTTTTTGTGATATTTTATTCCTTGCCAAATTTCTGACCTAGGATAATTTCCCTTTATGTCTAAAGGATAATTTTTAGTATTTTCCTGAGTTCATGTCTGTTGGTAACAAATTTTCTTATCTGAAATTATCTGTACTTTACTTTCACTTTTGAAGTCAATTCTTTCGGATGCTGTATTATGTTTACTAGTAGCCATGTGCTGTCTGCACTTTGGGTAACTTCAGCCTTTTGTTTCCTGGTTTCTGTTTCACAAGCACCGCAAACCATGTGGTTTATTTCTTTGAAGGAAATGTGGCCTTTTTTGCCTCTTGGCTGCTTTTAATGTTTCTGATTGCCTTTGGTTTTCAGCAGTTATACTGTAAAATTCTTGTATCTGTTCTGCTTGCCTTTGTGATTCATGACTGTGTGGATTGTTCTCTCATCTCAGCCATTCTTGCATCCTGCTCTGTCCCGTATTTTGCATCTCCGTCTAGCTCTGCATAGGGTGACATTGTCATTGCATTACCTCTCTGGCCTCTGCTTACTTTCTGTTTACTGCATTCTAGAGGTTTCCCTCATATTCTCCCAGTTTCCACTTTAGCTGTGTCCCTTTTGCCCGTCCTGTATGCACACAGCTTTTCATTTGGATTGTTTTGTTTTCAGACGTCCTTTACTTCAGGTTCTGATATTTCTGGTATCTAGATTTTTCTGTTCATTTGGATCATGTCTTTTTTTTTAAATTATGATTTTATTCAAATTGACTTAGCATATTTCCAATGATATTTAGCAGTATGTTATATATCATATTGTTCTGGCTGTTTGTAGAGATATTTTTGGGGTTTCTTTATAACTTTATTTTCACCTATATAAGAACTACTCCTTGCTCTCTGTGAGGAAGGTAGTGTGCTATGCCTTTTTGTCAACTTTGGATGACTAAGTTGTCTACATTTTGTCAGAACTGATTTAATGGTCCCTGTATTTCCTTCTTTGTAAAGTTTTCTAAATAATGTACAATAAAAAAATACCAGATTTCAGTCAGAGACATGGAGGTTAAAGTGTTTCTAGATCGAATGGACTGATAAAGTGCACAAGAAATAGAGTGGATTGAAGGAGGGATAGAGGTGTGGGTTTACAGATAAATATGTAATAAAGCAAATATAGTTGCTGCTAATAACATCAGGGGAATAGGGCTATTCACTGTGAAAAAATTAATTTTATTTGTGTGATATTTTTTGCAATAAAATTCAGGAAGACATATACTTTGTCGTGATCTTGATTCATTCAATTTTTGTAATCTTTTGATAACATGGAATCCTGTGTTCTAGAATTTTTTTTTTTTGGGTTTTTTGAGACAGGGTTTCTCTGTGTAGCTTTGGAGCCTGTCCTGGAACTCACTCTGTAGCCCAGGCTGGCCTCGAACTCACAGAGATCTGCCTGGCTCTGCACCCGAGTTCTGGGATTAAAGGTGTGCACCACCACCGCCCGGCGTGTTCTAGAATTTGATGTGATCTGGCTGACACCTTGAGGAATTTCAGTATCTTATATACCAATGCTGAAGCGACATCTGCCTGTCATTGGGTCCTTTGTTGTGAAACTTAGGAGTGGTATTTAAAAAAGTCTGGGAACTAACTGTAACCTTGAGAAATATCTCTGGTTCCTTTTGGGTCATTTGTCCTTGTCTGTGTCATTCGACCAGTCCTTTGAGTGAGGGGTGCCAGTCCTTCCTACCTACCTTGCATTACAGAAATAGCCCGTAAATATGAGATGCAAAAGGCAAATGCATTTAGTCTCCAAGGTCATTTTTTTCTGTCTTCTTGCATGAAATCACAAATATGTAAGGAGATTCCTTAATATTAAAATTTTCCTTGGCTGAGAGATGCCTCAGTTGGTAAAATGCTCAGATCCCCTGCATCCATGTAATAAAAATATGGTGCCGTGTGTCTGTAATCCTAGCACTAGGAAGGCGGACATAGTAAGACCCCTGTGGCTTCTTGGTCAGCCAGTCTAGCCAAATTGCCAAGTTATTCAGTGAAAGATCCTGTCTGATAAAATAAGATGGTGAATCAGTCAAGGAAGATATCCAATGATGACTTCTGGTCTGTACACACACACAAAGTTTTCCAAGTTCCTATGAGTGTGCACAGTGTTACAAGTGGCCAGTCTGGTTAGCATGTCGGGTGTACTTGGTGTTCGATAAATGTAGAAACCTGTCTGAGAAGGAAGTAGAGGAGAGAGGTGGGAAGGAGGAACAAAAGTGGGGTGAAAGAAAGATGAGAGAAGGAGGAGGAAAAGACCAAACAAGCAAGGAGAGCCCGTATCTGTAGCAGGCTCCAGTTCTGTGGTGTTAACTAACCCAGCACGGCCAATTCAAGCTCCCAGCATGGCTCACCTGAGTGCAGGGCCCAGTGCGGGTAAAATGCAGCCAGCTCCATGCCCACCACTGTCATCTCTTACTTTCCACACCATTTCTGATTTTTTTTTTTTGAGGAAACTTAACAATTTAGTTACAATTATTTTATATAGACAACTAAAATACCTGTATGATTTGGTTATGGTTTGTACAAAAAGCTATCCAGAGTGTAGAAGAATCTATGAAACTTTATTGTTTTTCTGTTCCAGTTATAAAGATGTCTTTTTCCCTCAGATGGTGGTGGAGAGAAAAGTATGTATGTGGTCTCTGAACAAGTTAAATGTTTCTGAAGTTGGTGACAGAAACAAATGTCTGTAATGTGGCTTTATGACAATTTGAGTTTGTGTGGCATTGAAGAGTTTTTTGTTTTGTTTTGTTTTTTGTTTTCAGGCATTTTTGTTGCCTTCCTGTGAGATATCTGTAACAAGAAAAGTAGTTCAAGTATACAGGAAGTGGATCCTCCAGAACCAACCTGTGTTCATGGAGGAGCCAGATAAAAAGGATGTTGCCCAGGAAGATGCTGACAAATTAGGACTTTCAGAGACTGACTCCAAGGAGGTAACATTATCGCTCCGTCCCTTGAGTTGAGGGTACATACCCCTTGGCAAAGTAGACCTGGTTGGTCAAGAGTCTCACTCTGCCCACAAACGCAGATGGGAGCATGACATTCTCAGGTTGTTGGGTTCTGTGAAGACCTGCCTTAGAAGCATTGTTCATGCTCTGTCTTTGGTGGGCAATTGTCTCCTTCACCCTTAGCCTAGAGCTACATGAACATGGCAACTTTCTTAATCGCTGTTGCAAGATAGCTGTTTTCTCATATTTTACAATTCTCTCTGTGAGGCTGAAAAGCTCTTATCCTCTCCTTGACTTGTTTAAATAAACAGTTGTTGGAAAAATTAAATGTAGAATGTTTTGCCAGACTTGTTTTTTGCAGTTGACTGTCCAGAAGAAATCTGTATTAAATGTTTGAAGAGATAAGCCGAGTAAAGAGCAAGTACTTCTGGTGTGCCAGGAGTGCTGCCTTCCTGCAGGGGGCACTGTCCTATTCAAGGCTAAGGCTTGAATAAGCTTAAAATGACAACACGGAACACCATCCTAAGCACAAAAGAAACAAATTGTATTTATGTCCTGGATTAAATTAATTTACAATATTTAAAATTCTTAGCCACAGACTTAAAAATGTTAAATGTCTGAATTGATTCTGTTGTTTTGATGTTTCGATATTGGGGAAATCATTTTAGTAACTAGTAATGAGGTCAGATCAACAGTAAGCAAGTAGAATTTGTGTGTGTAGAGGCCCGATTTCTGTGTCCCAGCATCAGGCAAACTTGGCTCTCCTAGTACACACTAAGGACTGAGACCAACTAGGGTGCTAGAGGTCGAGCACACGCTAAGCAGAGTGTAAGGAACCAAGCATGTAAACACAGTCTTCTCCCTGATTGGCTAATGGGTTGTTACCTTCTTAAGGCCTCGTCTGAAAGTTCTGGTCATAAACGGTCATCCAGCTGGGGGGCGCACGTATTCCTTCACAAGTGCCATGAGCAGAGGGTGTGTGACAGAGGAGGACAACACAAATGTGAAAGCCGGGGCCCAAGCTATGCTGCAGGTATGCTACCATTGGGGACACAAAGACAACCCTGGTGGAGAAGACATTTTGAACATTTTCTTTAATTAGAATAATGTCATATGAACTGCACTGGTATTTTGCGCTTCAGGCGCTAAAAAACCCTTAAGTTCTAAGTTTTTCTTCCTATTTACAAATGAAAAGTATTTTTTTTTCTAGTCAAAAAAGATGTGAGAATTAGTTGCAGGTTTTTTGAGAAGGATTATTTTACAGTGAATGTGAAATTTATATGATTTATACCTAAAAGTGTCTTCCAAGCACATCTGAATAGTTACTTGGGTTTTAATTTGTAAGACCTTATTCCCTGTGTAGATACACACACACACACACACACACACACACACACACATGCACACACACACACACACACACACACACACACACATGCACACACACACAGCAAGAGAAACATAAATAAAAGTGAAATAAATCGCAAAGATGATTTTACTCATGTAGCTGCAGAGAACTTTGCTATAGCTCATCATTATAACCTGTGACCTTGCCCTTGTCCCTGTAGCTCTACAGCTTGAAAAGTTACTTCATTGGGATTTACATTGTTGTTTTTGTTTATTGTATTTGGTAACTTGTCTCTTGAGTGGTTGCTCATGGGCAAAGGGGCTTGATGAAGGTCTGGTGAGAGCAAAGGTCTGATGAGAGCGTTCTGCTGCTGCTGGGGATGATACAGTTTGGACATAATACTTTGATTGTTTGGTGTTACCTTAACCGATGCCAATACAGTGAGAAGTATTCATGTGTTGGCATCTTGAAGCTATTGTTAGAAGTAAAAGTGTAGTATATGAAGACTTTTCACTGGGAATGGGTAGACATTTCAAATTCAAGAAGGCAACACATGAAATTGAAAGGCTTTGTATTTTATTATTTGTGGCTTACTCATATAAAAGCATTGTCACTAAAACTGCTTTAGTTTGTTACTCAGAAAATTCTTCGTTTTCTTTTCTCTCATTCAAAGTCTTATTCAGATTCACACTGTGATTTTTATCTGGTAGTGATTATTAGTGGTTTTTTTCCCCTATAAAATTGGGACATGGAACCTTTTTCATCTCACAAAAGCTAAACCTTAAAGGCTGTCATCAGTTTTTTGAGTGTATTGATTTGAACCTGTTTGGTCAGCCTGTGTATTGGGATTTCCTTCACTAAGAAGCCAGAGAAGCTGGGTTTGTTCCCACTGCCTCATTGCTTAAACTATTTAACCTAAAGGAGACCTACAAAGGAGTGTGCATATAGTAGATAGGAACTCATCTGATCTACTTTATGTGTACCTTTGCTTAAATACATATCTGTGTACCACATGCATGCCTGGTGCTCAAAGGAGGCCAGGAAAGGACATTGGATTCCTTGGAACTGGAGTTACAGATGGTTGTGAGCCACTATATGGGTGCTGGGAATCAAACCCAGGCCCTCTGAAAGAGCAGAACCGTGTTCTTAACCACTAAGTCATCTCTCTAGTCCCAGTCCTATCCATTTCTGTCGCCAAGTTGACAACAATGAATCTCTGAAGTTGATGGGCCACTAGTGTCATCTTTATGAATGCTGACATGTTGGTCCTTCACTGTAGTAAGCAGTGATTTGCTGTCTGAGAACCTGAGTCAACCCTGCTGATCCAGAACGAAGATCTGGGGCAGAGCATAGAGAAGTCAACTGACTGTCTCATTGTTCTTTTGTAATATTCTTTTATCTTAAGAATTTGCTGAGACTGCTGTGCCCTGCTGCATAATAGATTCCTCCTATTCAAAAAAGCCCAGCAGCTAGAGAGATGGCTCAGCTGGTAAAACGTTTGCTACACTATGTGAGGACTGAAGTTTCTAGAAGCCAGATGGGCTTGGCAGCCCACCTATAATCCCAGTGCCAGGGAGGCAGAGACAGGAAATCCCTGGAGCATGTTAGCTACCCAGAGAAACAAAAACTGAGCTGAGTTCAGGGAGAGACCTTGCTTCAATATAGAAGATGGGAGGGAGTGAAAAAGACACCTGATGTCAATTTTGGGTCTCCATATGCACGTACCCATATGTTCAGCCCCCACTCCCATGGGAATACAAACATACAGACACACACACCACATAACATGCAAAACAAAACAAAAACAAAAACAGTCCTGATCCTAGAAGATGCAACATCAACCATGTGGCATTGTCTGTTTCCAGGCACACCACTGCTCATCATTCACTCGTTATGCCTCTTGGGGACACTTGTAATATTCCGTCAGGAAGCAGGTTTCATGTACTGTGCGGGGAACTTCCATTAGTGCCATATGGGTTTACTATACATTGATTCTTATTCTTCCAACTTGATGTCTTAAATTCTCTTTGGAAAAACAATTGTATCGCTATTGTGTAGCCATGGACCTCTTCTCTGACCTTCTGTCCATCCCAGACCTTTTCACCCTGACACAATGGTCCTGTCTTTTTTTTTTTTAATTGTTGCTGTTGCTGTTACTGTTGAAAGATAAAACAAGTTCAAATATTTTATGACTCATGACTAAAGTAATGGTGTTTATACGGAATAGTAAGGAAAGGCCTTTTAGGTGTCTACCTAGGCAGTTCTAAGGGGTGAGCTACAATACCTGAAACATGTATTGGCGCCACTTGCTATATTGAAAGAGACTGTGGAAATAACCCAAAGGGATTCATTGGTCATATGATTAATTGTATTTGCCTTTAAGGTCTTCCTTACAAATGCTGCGAATGTCTTTTTGCTGGAACCGTGTGCTGAAGTTCCCATGCTCCTGAGAGAACAGGTAGATGCCTGTAAAGCTGTTCTGATTATTTTTCGGCGCATGATAATGGAACTTACAATGAATCAAAAGACATGGTAAGTTTACTTCAGATTAACATCCCCAAGCAGCTGTCTTTTCTTTTTAGTATAATTAAAGTGTTAAGGTTTCCGTTTATCTCATGTCTTCACAAAACTGGCAATAAGGCAAGCAGCAGCCCCATGGTAGCTTTTGTGAATTCTGGTTGCCCAGCACTTGGATAATTCATTTATGTTCATTATTGTTTTTAAAACTGCTCTTGAACAGGAGTTAGTGTTACATTACCCAAAAGTGGGTTTTCCCATTTTAAACTGTTATCAGACAGTTTTATGATAAGTGTGTGATTTATAATATGATTCTTCATAAGCTCAATTTCGTTTGTTGTCCTGAAGTGCTATAACCTTGAGTTTTATTCCTTCAACTTGGTACTTTAAATTCACTTTGGAAAAACAATTCTTTTAACTAATACATTATCAAAGTGACAGAAAAGTACAGGCAAAAAGTATGTCCTCACTGGTTTTTCCTTCCCTTTTCTTTTTCTTTTACTGTTTTTCTATTAATTGTGTTCTTAAAGGTAAAATGTGCTAGATGTTTTCCATACCTGTCTCCCATAGTGGATATCTCCCACATCAGCCTCAGTGTTCTCAGTGATAGACTAGCAAACCCTGACTCATGCTTCCCTCCTTCCCATTGTCTTCACATGTAGCCTGTCTTAGAAATGCCTCTCAGGTCTGTCTGGGTGTGTTCATATCACTTAGCCACCTGTAAAACCACTACAGGTGTCTTTATATCTCAGATTCTAGGGCTTTGAGGCTCCTGAGGTCCTGTGGCAGTGGAATCCTTTCTGGACTGGGAATTTTTCTAGGACCACACCTGTTTTATAGATGCCCTCGAGCCAGTACTGTTGGTGTTATACAAGGTGTCTGTCCATAGTAGGTGGGAAACACCCCAAACAAGGCTAGGGTGAGCTATCAGAGGCCACAGACCACCATGAGGAGGGAAGGGTGGGCCCACAGGAAATCTGTCTTGTAGCAAGTTCACAAATATCAAAATGATGATTTGAAAGTATAAATTACAAGGTCACCTTTACTGGTTTTTAAGTTAGTATTCTTACCAAGTCATATAGCTGCTAAGTTGGAAACATTACAGCCATGCTCAGTGTGATGTAAACCTAGTCCAGCATCATGGCAGTCAGAATGACCTGGTGAGAAATGCTTTCAGCTGGATGATGCTCCTTGTACCACAGCTGTGTGGATAGTATTCTTCTGTTTCTTTTCTTAGAAAATGATGAATTCTGTATACACTGTACAGTATTATACTTTTTATAATCATTTATTCTGATGAAAATTTTAGGAAGTAAAATAAAGCAACTGTTCTTTCCTTTAGAAATTTAGAGATTTCCAGATAAATGTATAAAAAGACAACTGTAGAAATAAATGACAATAGTAACTAAACATGGTAGAGAATAGGAAGGAGCACGGTCTGTTTCCCAGACAGACTTTCTGCATATTTAAGTTCCAAATGCCCAGTGCCTTCTTTCACTTCCCTCCTTCCCCTACTTTGTCCTCCTCTCCTTCCCTTACTCCTTCCCCCCCCCCCCCCCCCCCCCCCCCCCGCTTCCTTCTTTCCTGACCATCTACTATGAACACACAGTGGTGCACTAAATAGCGTGTTCCGTTGTGACAGGGTCCGGGTATCCTGGCGGTGAGTGGCAGGCCACCTTCAGCTCTGTCATTTCTCTTCCCTCTTCTCTTCAGATTTGCTGCCCTGTGCTGGGCACACGTGTCTAGATCTAGGCGGTACATTTGTCTTCCTCCTCCACATTTCAGGATCCATAGACAGTGCAAAACAAGCAAACAGATGGACTAGAGTGCTGGGAGAATGGATGGTAACAGATAAGTAACCCTGGGACCAAAGCCCAATGGAGCCAGATACCAAGGGAGCAGATAGCAAATTCCCAGAGGTCACTATACCATGAGAAGGTCACTGAGATTCTGCATCATCTGCCACTGCATAGACACAGGAGAAAAGACACCACAGCCTACACATCTCTTTGTCTGACCTGGACCAGATTGCTTTGTTGTTTCTTAGTTTTTTTTTTTTTAGAGAGTAGGAAGCGCAAGAAGAAAGTAGTGCAAATGAATAAATGGTTAGGGCTCAAAACCTTAGAGGAACCAGAGTGATTCCCTTAGGGAATGAATGAGCTTCTTCTCTATACAGAAGATAGTATGTTCTCCATCCCCACAGAGTCCATGGATATGAGAAACGCAACTTGGCTCTCTAAGAAAGAAAAAATGATCTGCTGCTGTGTTCAACACCAGTTGTCATAATTAGCAGTGCTGTGTTGATTCTTTAAGCCTATTATATAAAGCCCCCTTCTGTAAGACTGAAAACCGTAGCACATGGTGACTGGGCTATGGTGATTGCAGCCATCCCAGGTGTGCACTGTGGTGAAGGCAGGATCTGCCAGGCACAAATACACTGCCCATCAGTGTTCAGTCCTGACCTTTCCAGACCCCTCCTGTCTTCTGCAGGAACCACAGTCAGGCAGTATTACTGACTGCCTGTGTCCTCATAGTAAAGACCAGAGTCAGTGTTGTTCTATCACAAAGGCAGATGGGAGACTTTACAGGTTAAGTAACAAAATGATGGAGAATGTCAGAGTACTGTATTAGTTCCGACTGGCATAGCTATTCCCTTGGTGAGTGCCCTGGTGTGTGGTTCAACTGGAGAAAACCATCTTGCCCTCCTTCCTGCAAAGAGAAAAGTCAGAGAAGATGTCTGGAAGATGTCATCCTGCCAGTTGGCATGGATGTGAAAGCATATTTGTTGAACTGTGGTAACATAAAGTAGTTTGTGTGGATAAAATATGAACATATTCTCTAACTGGCACCTAGACTTTTAATACTTTCAGATAATGTGTGATTATTAGTGTTGCTGACTGCAGAGATCTCATACCTATAAAGTGCTTTGAGGATGTGATTACTAATATGAGCTTTTATTTTGGGTGGTCCAGGGAGCAGATGTTGCAAATCCTTCTCAGGATAACAGAAGCTGTCATGCAGAAGCCAAAGGATAAGCATGTAAAGGACTTGTTTGCCCAGAGCTTGGCAGGGTTGCTCTTCAGGGTAAGTCTTTTTTATTAAACACTGCAAATGCAGAATTGAAGCAGACTTGGCAAATTAGTTTTAATTACTGAGATTTTACATGTTATGTCAAATTAACTTTACATTTTCAGACATTTTCCTTCTTAGCTTTGTTCTAAATGTTGTGTCTGTTTTTCCAGTTAACATTGGGTTTTTTAGGCCTCCCTCTCTGCCATCTCCTTCCTCTTGGTTTGCTTGAGAGTGATCGGCATTCAGACAGAAGTGACAGGAGTTGAGCATCTTAGCAGGGGAGAAGACCAGATAGATTTGACAGTTACAGGGTCAATAGAAATATGGAAGTGGGCTGAAAGCTTGAGACCATCACTGTGTCAAGCAATTGTATGGGAAGCCTCAGACTGGATGGAGTGACTGTGAGAGAGAACATATGCAGAGGGAGACGAAGATGTCTCTGTGGTTGATAGAAGAGAGAGCCAGCCAGAGATACTGAGGAAGGAGGCCCAGTTTGCTGAGGGGAAGCTAGAGTGGATTGTTCTAGATGCCCGGTAGGTGAGCAGGAGCAGGCGATCTTTGGTTCTCGTAAAATGTGGGTAGTTGAGAATGCCCAAAGAATTGAAGTCTACTTGGAGTAGATGAATCAGGAAGTGGAGGTAGCAACTATGGACAAGACTTCCAAGAGCTCTTGATGTGAAAGGAAGGGGGCGGGGGAGGAAAACTATCTGGAGGGGCCACTGTGTGTAGAGGGTGAGGTTTAGAGCAGGTGCTACTTAAGTGTTGGCTTGCCAGTGTCATGTTCTAGTGAAAGAGGTCAGGATGAATTGGTTCAGAAGGATCTGGTAGGGCTGAATGACTCTCATTATGAGCTGAGAGCCAAAGATGTACTAGTACTTTCTGCCTCAGTGGGAGCAGGGTCAAGAGCATGGATAGGCTGACAGCTGGTGGACTGCCCAGGGAGGTAGCCTCAGGCTACACTGCTTTTTGTAGGGTTCATAGAACTTAGGGACATTTCTAAAAGAGAACAGTGTGAAAAACTATGGAAATATATTATATTCTGCATTAGGCCTGATCTTGAATAATTTGATAGGTGGGAGCACAATGAGCTGAAATGATGGTGGAGGAAGGAAACATTCTCTTCTCCAGTTCATGGTTTTTGGATGATATATCTCAAGAGCATATGTAAAGTACAGGTAGTGTATCTAGAGGCTGCAGAAGGAATTGGCTCCTTCTCACTTGCTTCATCGATACTCTCCCTTCCCCCTTGACTGCCTTGCTTAGCTCATGGGTATATGGGATGGGAGTACACAGTCATTTTTATTTGAGGGTTTTGTTGTTGTTTTGTTTAGTCCAGGCCTCACTATGAGCCTAGATTGATCCAGAGTCTCAATCTATTGCTTCAGCCTTCCAAGTGCTAGGATTATATGCTTGTGTCATTATACTCTGACTACATGGGTTTTGTTTTTGTTTGTAGTAATCCAGCCTAGTTTGTTGATGCTACTGCTTTGCTGCCTGCAGGAATGTACAGACATGCTGCACTGTGCTCTCTCTGTACATCCAGCATCTCACTGTCTGCACCTGAGCTCCCAGTACTGGGGCTTTGCTGTCAAGTGGGCATGAGCTAAAGCCAGTGTCAAGCCCGATTTTCACCAATTGTCCGGCCTTGTATCTGTTATGTGCATTGGAATTAGAAAGTGAATTTGTTACAGGATTAAGAATGAATCTATTCTAGAGTTATTTGTATTCATTTGTTTGGGTTGGGATGGGGGTGGGGCAAGAAAGAATTCCCTTAGAGTATTCTTGTCACTTCTTTCTTTCACAATTTTTGGCCCTTGATTGCTTATGATTTTGATGCATGTTGGAAATGAGTACAGAAAAAGGATGCTTAGATTTAGAATTGACCACGGAAGAGTGGAGGAAGGCTGAGCTTTGTGGAGCTGGACAGATCCTGGTTGTGACTCTGGCTCTGGCACTGCTGGCTTGATGGCCTTGGGTACCACATCCACTTCTGTATCCCTCCCTGCTCTGCAGTCGGGACAGGACAACATGGGAAGTGCAGTGGATTTGGGACCATCTGTTGATTTCCCATGTCCTTGGGTGAGATCTGAGGAGGGAAATGGCTGTGCTTTGAACTGACCATCACGTACAGTGAAGACACTAATACATTTGTCATACAGATGAAAATGGCCAGATATTTGCATTTTTGGTTTTTATAGTACAGAACTAGTAGAGGGTAAGGAAATTTTAAGTTGCCCTTATCCTTTTATCTTTTTCTAACTCTTCCCATGGTGTTTATTTTTCCTCTGTTTTATAGATAATCTAGGTTAACAAAATTTCTTCTAGTGATAGTTGAATTTATCTCATTTAAAAATATTTACCAAATAATGGTGATTACCTCTGGTGATGTTATAAGTTGTTGTGTAACTGACTAATGCTAGTTAGACCATAGGCTGTAAGTTCTGAAGGTGATCAGGAAGCCTTGCTTCTTCTGTCTATAATAGGATCCAGTACTTGACAGTGTTTAATGTCAGTGACAGTGTCTTTAAGGGAGGAAATGGTTAGTTATCAGTTGATGTCATTGAGGCAAGGTGTGTTCCTGTGGTTGATGTGCTGATCTGTATCTAATTAAACACTGAGTGTCAGTGCTGAGGGACCCTTGACTTTGATGAGAAGTGTAACTCCAGAAAGGCCAGCTGACTTTCTCCCAGACTCAAACCAAGTTAGTGGCACAACCTAGTGCTGGGACTATCACTCCCCCTTGTCCTTTTGGAAAAGGATAATTGATTGAAAGGCTGTCTTGCTTTTATGTCCAAAGGTTCTTCCATCCCATCTCCCCTCAACTAACTTTGAGGATTTTGCACCGTGTCCGAGTGCTATTGTGACTTTTGTTGATGATTTATAGGTTTGTGACATTGACTATGACAAATTTTCTGAACTGCAAGAAGTCAGCTCCCTCCCTCCGTCTTCTTCCTTCCTCTCCTTCCTCTCCTTCCTCTCCTTCCTCTCCTTCCTTCCTTCCTCCCTCCCTCCCTCCCTCCCCCCTCTTCCTCCCCCTCCCTCTCTCCCTCTCTCCCTCCCTCCCTCTCTCTCTCTCTCTCTCTCTCTCTCTCTCTCTCTCTCTCTCTCTCTCTTTCTCTCGTTATTTGAGAGAAGGTCTCACCTGGCCTAGAACTCACTATGTAGACCAGGCTGGCCTAGAACTTATAGACATCTGTGTGCCTCTGCTGGGATTAAAGGTGAATGCTACCACATCATTACTTTATTTCTTATACTTAGTAAAGTGATTTCCAGTCTTGATGTCTTACTGTACCAAGACATCCATCTGGTTTTGTTCCTGCTACCAGTACTGCAGCAGAATGGGAGGTGATTCCTAGTGACTTAGTGACTTCTGCAGTCTCCACCCTCTTATCCACTAAGATTATATCTCCTGACCTAATATTGGGTCAGCTTTATTACCACTAATATTTTATTGAGTAGTTTTATTAAGACTAAAATGCCAGTTTCTGTCTATACATTTTTAAATTCATGTCTTCAAAAGTTCAAGGCCATTACCTGAAAGCAGTAAATTAATAATCTTCATATAATAGAAAATATTGATCTAATAATAAAATGGACCCAATACTAGATCAAAAGTTAGTAATCAGTAATTGACTTCTTTTCTTGATGATGGGCTACAAGTGCCTTTGGACTGTCCTCTGTAAAGCAGGTGAATAATCAGGAAGCCAGCAAAGGGATCTGTGCTGGACATGAAGACAGAAGAGTGCACAGCAGTTAGAGGGTAGTGGAGCAACAGAAATAGGTAACCAAAACCTAGGCAGGAAGTGAGAGCTGTCAGAAGGAAAAATCCAGAGTCAACTGGCTGGGAAGTGAGGAAGTAGAAAAGTTTGACTTTGACAGGGGGGGGGGGGGGGGGAAGGCTGTAAGCAGAGGGGAAATCTGCTTTAAGGAGAGTGTGTTTCTAAGGGTAGTTTGGCTTAATAGAAGCACAAGATTCTGAGAAGGAACCCAGAGCGGGAATAGGAATGCCTCTTGGAAGACGGCGCAGATGGAGGTGAAGCTGGGTAAATGCTGGTGGACGGAAGGTCTCGTGGGCTGAAGTTGAAGTCATTTGATGAGTTGTCTTTGAATTCTGCGGCAAGCCCCGCTGCTCAGAGTCATGTAGCACTCGGGTTAGAGGATCACATATAGAGAAAGACATTTACCATAGCCCCTGTGGTGATGGGGAAAAAGCCACCTTCAGAAGCTAGTACTCACTGGACAGAGGGTTTCCTATTCTTGCCAATATCAGCAGCACTAGCCACGCACTTTAGAATAGTATTTTCTCAGATAACTCATCTTACCATAATTGAAGTTGGTCCAAAGTAAGAACAGCAATGAAAAGGATGTTAATTTGTTGTTGTTAAAAAATCGTATATTTGGTTGGTTTCAGACACTTATCGTGGCTTGGATCCGAGCAAACCTCTGTGTGTACATTTCTCGGGAGCTTTGGGATGACTTTCTAGGTGTGCTGTCATCCCTCACAGAGTGGGAGGAACTCATTACTGAGTGGTCCAACATCATGGACTCCTTGACAGCTGTGCTCGCAAGAACTGTGTATGGAGTTGAGATGACAAACCTACCTCTAGATAAATTAAGTGAGCAAAAGGAGAAGAAGCAACGTGGCAAAGGTACTTTTACTCTTTCAAGGCTGCAGCAGTGGTGTGGGGTGAGAGGTGTTTATCTGTACACCTAAGCCGTTAATGCATTGATTTTCATAATGAGCTGAACCAACTCTAGTGTCTTTTTAAATGCTGGTCATTAGATTGTGTCTCCTATTACATTGTTCCTTTAATGAGACTGGTGACTATCTAAAGAGACTGTAGAGAAGAAAAAAAGAGAGAGAAGTACTGATAACAGGAGTAACAATGACTTGTGCTTTGTACATGGACTCCATCCTTATGATAGCTCTTTTAGATCTGTGTCACAGACAGAAAACCCAGAATACAAAGACTTATAATGACTGATGTCAGAGCCAGCCAAGTCAGCCCAAGATAGCACACTGCTAAGATTCATGCTGCTGCCTCCCTAGAAATGTGGAGGAATTCCAAGTGCTTGAGATGGGAGCCATTTTGGCTTTATTGTGCTTCTAGTAAAGCTCTTTTCAGACCTAAGGAAGTAAAAGTAATAATTTTGAGTTGCAAATCAATGAGAGTTTCTGTTGGAGATGACAGTTGGTATCCCCTTGTCTTTATTACAGTTCCTAAGGGCTATAGTACTTGAGTTAATTTGTCTATTTTAGCTTATACTGTCTTATACTGTAAAGACTCGAGCTGGCTTATTCAAATGCATATCATACATATTAAGTGGAAAAAGAAATAGGACAAAGTGGGAAGGAGCTGCAGGTTTGGTTAAATGCCAAAATGCATTCTATAGAGCCTCATGGGCTTGCTGGGGATTCAGGGAGAGATGACTTTGGATTTGACCTTGGTGTTCCTCTGGGTTATATCAAACAGAATCATAGAATACAGAAGGTAAAAACAATGTGTTTCCTTGGTTGATAAGTAACTTCCCTTGGTTCTGAGACCTCGAAGGCATCTTTCTTCAAAGCTTTTCAAGTTATACATGGTTACAGCAGATTATGTTTTAGTAATAATAGCCTCAGTATAGACTGTCTCAATTGGTTTTTGCTATGTGACAAATCACTCCAAAACTTAGTAGCTTAACATAGTAACTGTTTATTTAGACCACGCTTTTATGAGCTGATAAGTTGAGTTGCACACTCTAGCCAGTGCTAATTCATTTTTATGTTATTCACTCTGTGCTGTGACCACTTAGATTGTTTTGCTTCTAGGAACTGACTGGCTGTCAACCAGGGCAGTGAGTGTGACTGGGCTACATATTTCATCACCCAGCAGGTTGGCACATGATTGTTAATATAACATGACAGAAGTCAATTTTTCAGGTCTCACTTCTTTAGTTTTACTACCAGAGTATGATGAAGTCCAGAGTCAGTGTGAGACCAAAGGATGTGGATACAGGGAGACATGAACCAATTCTAGTGATGAATTAACCATATATAAGTACTAGGGGCTGGCTTATAATGTATTCATTGCAGTCTGAGAATGGTTTGCCAAAGCCCTGGTTAGTAAAAGCAAGCAGCTAGAAGCCAAAGCAAAATAGCTATGTTCCTAGCATTCCAGTAGAATGGGTTAATCCCAGTTTAGATTTAGACTATGCAGTGCAGGAATTTTCTAACATGGCTTTAGCAACAGGTCATTTTTTTTTCTTTACAGTTGAAGCTAAACAGGAATCTTAAAAAAAAAAAAAAAATACACACTAGCCTAGAGGTCCTTACTCTCTCTTCTGGTTCTCTTGCATGTCTGAGGTTTATGTGTGAACCATGGACTGGGAATATCAAGATACTCTCTGCAGGAAGCTGGCTACCTAAGACAGTGTTTCTCAGTCTAAAGGAGAGTTTATCCTGCAGAGGAGGGAAGAGCTGAGATAGAAGATGTGGCTTACTTTTTCAAAATAAGTGTGTTTCTTGCCTCCTGAAGGTGTTTAAACACACACACACACACACACACACACACACACACACACACGCACGCACGCATGCATACCTTGTATCTTAAAGGTCTTTCTTCCTACCTAGTATATAAACACAGTCCTATGAAGAGATAAATTGACATTGGGAAAATAAACAACTTCAAAAGTACTGTTTTCCAGAGAGATACAATGAATTCTTTAAATAATGACCATGACAAACATCTTATTTTATACTGCCTTATTCTAAAAAGTGATTTAAATATTTATTATACAAATATAGGCCTAAGCGCTAAACTAGTGAAAACAGAAAATCAACACCAAGGGAACTTGATGTGAAAATGAGCCACAAGTTGTATCCACTGTCTACATTATTTCTGAGCAAAAAAAAAAAACAAAACAAAACTCCTAAATGTCTTATTCTCTTTCCTTCTGTATTTCTTTTGGGTCTTTGACCTTTCTTTAAAATAATTGACCAGAACGTTATAAAAAATAGAAGTCAAACCTCAGACCACTTTGTTACATCATTTTGAAACTTTTCTAAAATAAGATTTTAAATTATTTGTAGATTTTCATTAACTTACCCATTTGACCAAGTTGGTGTTAGAGTTCATGGGTTTCTGTGGGGTTTGTGGCTGGGTTGAAGTCTTTAGAAACCAGTACCATTTTAACATCGGTACTTTAAAGCTTTTGGCCTATAAGTGATAGCTTTTAAAGTACCATGGGAACATTGGCATAAGTTGATATGACATTGTTCTTACAGTGGGAAAGATTGGTTAATATGTACTTTTACATGTAGAAGTAAATACTATGACGGTACGATTATCATGAAACTGCTGGAAATTAAAAATACTTTGGCAGCAAGTATTTTGAAGTTATTGATATGTCTTCCTAAATTGCAACACAAGGAAGCAGTTCTTAATTTGCAGCATGGGAATCTGCTGGTGCAGTGTTATACATAGGCCGTTTCTTGACTACTGGTAATATGCAATTGTATGTTTGCTATTTGCTGAACGGCCTAGGCAGTAAAATGAGTAACAAATTCAGATTTTAGATTGTTTTTCTCATCTTATCCTTTATCAGGTTGTATTCCAGATTCCCAAAAAGGGACCGCTGTGGGTAGATCCTTTTCTCTCAGCTGGCGTAGCCATCCAGATGTGACTGAGCCAATGAGATTCCGAAGTGCTACCACATCTGGAGCACCAGGAGTTGAGAAGGCAAGAAATATTGTTCGCCAAAAAGCAACTGGTAAATATTTGTTTAAATATCGCTAAACAAATCTAATTGCTATTTAAATGAATTTATAGGAATAAACATTTTAAAGTTCTCAGAATTTAAATTTTTAGTAAATGAAATCTGTGAATATCTTTTCAAGTTTCAGTTCTGGGTACTTCTCAAGTCACAGGTTTTACTGTTTCTTTCTAAAGTCTCTACTGTGAAAAGGGAGCTTGATAAATGCACCTTTACCCTCAGTGATGTCATTGCTAGGCAGTGCTCCTTTAGGAGTCTTGTGATAACTGGTTCTAGCGAAGAAAAGGAGGGTGACACTTGGTTTTAGGAATGAATGAAGACATTCTCATGTTTTACTTCTTTAAAGACATTGAGTTTCCTATGCCTATGGATGCTGCTTTTACAGCCTATTTGAACTATCACTGTTACTTGATGGAGAACCCACAGATGACCAGACAGCTTTGTTGCATTTTACTATGGCAAAGGACAAATCTTTAAAAGGGAAGCTGATATTCAGGATAAAGACAAGAAGGTTCTCTCCTGTCTTTGTGCTCTGATTTAGGACTGAAACAACCTTATCTCAGTTCTTATAGTTTCTCTTATCAGCAGTACCATACACTTAGAGTTGATAATCAACAACTTTAGAAAAACATAAATAAAATCGTCAGGCCATAAAACAAATACTTGTTAAGTTTAACATATTTTGTTCATTGTTTGTTAAAAGCCTAGTATAGATGGTTTAGCATCTTGTTGATGGTTTCATCTAGGTGTATTGTTCCTCATTCTTTATGCCTTAGCATTTACTGGCAATTCTCTTTTTAATTATCTGCACCACCTATTCTGTTAGTTTTTCTTCATTCTGTCTCCCCAAAAGAAACCCAGTTTCAAAAAACATTCAGTACTGAGGACACCCACTGATTCCCTTTCTCAGTTCAACTCCTACGGTCTTCCCTGCCATCACTGGATCCTTCAGTGAAAGAGATGAGAAGCATGTGGCAAAGGCAATGTCCTTCCCAAGCTGTGCAGACTTACGCTGCCTTCACCACCCTTGAATTCCAACTATAAGCACTAATCCAAAACCATAGCATTTTATTCATACATGATGATCAGCAGCAAATACATGCACGTCTCATATGACACTAAAAATCTTAATTTCCACCAGATGTTATAAACCAACTATGTAGTTAGAAGCATCAGCATGCTTTAGAAAACACTCAGAAAAGGCAGGCTATGTTTAAAAATGTTCTCAAGCATTTGAAGGGCCATGTGACATTGGACAAACCTTTTTCAAAGGTTTTGTAAAGATATTTGTGGAATATGTACTTTAAAACTATAAGGTTGGCTTTTATAGTGTTAACTAAATTTTAAAAGCCTGGAACTGTTTTATTTTTGAAAGACAGTGAAGTCCATCAATTGCACAAGTCTATTATCTTTATGCTTTATATATACACATTTATGTGTGCATACATATGCATTTCCTATTGTATTTTATATCTTTTAAAATGCTTAATGTTGTGAATCAATTGTTACCTATTAATGGCCATTGAAGATTTTTGTATACCTTGCAGTTTAATAAGACTGTTTAATAGTACACACAGGTAATTTTACTTAGTTTTATTTTCCTACTTTTTAACAAAGCCCTGAGTTTGGACATCTATGTGGTCATTGCCCTTTACATATTATCTTACACACACACACACACACACACACACACACACACACACACACACACACGAGTTATGTAATAATTTCATTGCTGGAAATGCTGATAGCAAGGCATAGGGAAAGGGACAATAAAGTAGAAAGTTTGTTTCAGTTTCTGCAAATGTGCCACCCTTGTGTATAGTTTTTTCATGTATACTTAGCAGAAGTACATAAAAAAACAACAAAGCAAATAATCCTTTGTATTTTGATTTTAAGGATAGCACTGACTTTGAAGCATGTTCTCTTTCTGTATTTGTTTTATTAAATGTTTATTTAACCAACAATGTGTGAGAAAATCAAAAGTTGATACTGAGAAACCTTGTTCTTACTAAATGTGAAATACAATATAAAAAGATAGTTTTCATGGCTATCTAATAAAATATCTGATTCATATATTCATAAACTTCTGGGACATTTAGTTCACTAAGTGGTTAGCTTTTAAATACAGTCAGCTCTCAGTAGTTCAATTTCTGAATTATTTATTACTTAATAGAAAATGTTTTATATTGGACCATATTTTCTTTTTCTCACTGTGGTCTTTGTATGTGTATCCTTTAGGAAGAGATAATAATGTGCTAATAATGTAATAATGGCCTGTGCTTGAGCAAGCAGCCCAGACATCATTCAGGTCCACTCTGACACACAGCAGCAAAAAGAAGGGTAATGCCTGGAACATTCCCAAATGAAACAAGTTTTTTTGTGTGGAGTGACCATTCTAAGACGTCAGTGTTTGACTGAAAGTTGGCTGTATTTAGAGACTGATTAAGTACTCTAATTTTATTGACTTCTTTCAAAACTTAAAATGACTTCCTTTAAATGTTAAAGGAATTGCAGCACCATAAGAACTTAGAAGTGGTGAAAGGTCTCGCTGTGCTCTGATGTAATGTTGCTTTATCTCTCCTGGAAGCTAAGCGAAGCCAGTCTATCAGCAACTGTGTCCACCTCTCTGAGGCTTTGCCTGCCACTAAAAGCGTCCCGCTCCTCCTCCATACCGTGAGCGCTCTCTTCCCTGGTCTCTCTTACTCTTCTTGCTCTCACAGGCTGTCAGGTACTGTAATGCTGTCTTGTGTGTCTATCTGTGTCCCCAGGCTTCTGTCTCCTGCCCCAACTCTCCCAGTCATGTTCAGGAGGCTGTCTGTTTCACTTTGTTAAATTTCAAAGAATACTGGTGGTTGTTTTTGTATAGTTCATGTTTAGTAGCAACTAGGTAGTAAAAAATTCTATAATCTTCCTGGTTATCAGATTCATGCTGATAATTGAGGTTTTAGTTAAAACACAACAAGAAAAAAGCTAAATAGTTCTTATTTTTAAAATATTTTTATTCTTAGACTTCACCCAGTTGAAACTGAAATTAGTTCATATGTGTGTGTGTGTGTGTGTGTGTGTGTGTGTGTGTGTGTGTGTGTGTGTGTTTTCTCATGATATTATAGTACTAGCACAGTAAGGTGAATATAGTTAATAATAATCCATTGTGTGTCTTGACATAGCCAGGCTAGGGTGTTTGGAATGAACTTGTCAAATAAATGGTGAGAATGATAGATACACTAGTTATCCTGGTGTGATGTCACATCGCCCACACTGTCCGTGCATCAGGATGCTACACTGTGTACTACCACCGTGTGTAATTACCTTGTGCTAGTTATAAAGGGAGGATATTGCAGTACCAAAAGTGAGTCTTCTCATGTTTTTCCTAGTCACTCTCAAAAGGAATTTACTTTCTGTAGTGAATAAGTATATCTACAAAGAAACATTTTTTAGTCATTTTAAGATGAATGAGAGCTTAGTTAATAGGGAAAATTTTTCATATTTCTTTTACATTTTGAGTTCTGACACATAGATTAGTATTCTTTAAATATTGGAGATAGCCTAATTGCGGTTTCTGTCGCACAAACACTATAGTGCTATTGTAGTGTGGCAAAGCAAAATCAAAGCGTAAGTAAAATACCATGAGGAAGAGTTAGTTGTAACTGAGAGTGGGGACGATAGTGAACACTGAATGTTAAAACAGTAGAATGGCTTTGGAAAGGGGCCACCACCAGTTAAGTTGCTGCTTGAAGAGTAAATGAGTGAGGATTAGATTTTCCTGAAAATGCTACTTCTTAGAGATAATTAATGAGGTCTTTAAACAAATTTGCTATATATTTGACTGACTGACACCAGAAAGAAATCTTTCAATGTGGAAAGTTTTATTTTACAGTCTATTTTATTTCCACACTGTTTCACTTAGGTTTTCTCACTAGATTTTCTGGAATATGTTCTCAGAAAAATACCTTCCTATTCATAGCTTCATTTTTAAAAGTTTTGTTCTTATCCAGGGTTGTAGTTTGAATTACTTAAATACTTGGTCCTTGTGTGTGTGTACATGGCTCCTGCAGAAGTTGAGTGATTTACTGCAGTAACTGTCAACCAGGATGATTTGGCAACATCTGGAGCCATTTTTGGTTGTCACAGTAAGATGGTGCTGTTGGCATCTAGTGGTAGGAGACAGAGATGCTGCTGAATACTCTGCTGATGTATTCAGAAGATGGTCAAGCCTCAAATATGCAAATATGGCAAAGCCTGTGGCGCTGTAAAATGGAGCAGGCTGGACCAGGTCTGGGTTTCCCTGCCTTTACCATCTTTACTCTTGGTTTTTATAGCAGGGTGACTGAGGACAAACTGATGAAGCCGCCGTTTCATCTGACAGCTACAGTAACGAGTGCCTTCTCAGTCTGACTCAGTCTGACTGTCCTTTATTAGTTAGAATGCCACCGTTGTCATTTGTGACTGCCCTGTCGGTAGACTAGGCCAAGGGAAGTGTGTACCAGCCCTAGGAGTATATATTCTTCCTGGTTGGCAATTTGCAGCCTTGAGTTTGGGTTCTAATGTACATCTGAGTGCATAGGCATCTCCTGCTAAACTGTGACTAAGTATCAAGCAGGCTCTTTAAATTTTCCTTTCTGGCCAAAAGTTGAGTATTTCTGTTTGTTTGTTTTTCCTTTTGTTTTACTGTTTCAGTGCTTGCTAAATTTTGTTCTTATTGATGGCAGTAGTCCTTGTTTTGGTTTCTAGTCTGTGAGTTGTCAACTCGCCCAAATTGTAATAATAGAAGCAATGGCGGTAGATTTGGAGGTACAGGAAGCAGTGGTGTTTGAATTTGGGGAGAGTCAAAACCATCCATTTCCATTAATCTGAGTAGCTGCGTTGAGAGAAAAACATGCACCTGGTGAGTGGCTGTGCCAGCTGGGGAGTCCTCTTTCTTTTTCATGAGAACAGTCCCTCTCATTTGTCAGTGTTGACTGCTTTCTGTGTTGGGACATTTATCAGTCTGTAGCACTTTCATGCTATGCAGGAGTAGATTTTTCTTTTTCTCTTGCGAGTATTGTAGTGGTTGTAACTAGCAGATTGACTTACTTTACTTACCTTACCTTAGGGGACCTAAGGGCAGGTCTTGCTTAGCTGCTTCTGTGTCTTGTTCATATGTGCCATGGAAGTGCTTCTTGTTATGACCTGGACTAATTTACCCTCAGTAAGCGTGACCTTGTAGACATCCAAGGTGTTAAATGGATAGCATCTTCTGAGCTTTTAGAAGGTCAAGTTGGCATCTATGATTGTGTTTTTAAAACTAGGACCTTACACTCTAATTTTGCTTGTGTAGCCTTGTATGGGGGATAAATGGAACATAGTATCTCTCTTATTGGAGACAGAGCCTTGCTGCATTTAATAAGATGGAATAAGGAAGTCTGCAATTAAAGAGTGAGTAAAAAGTAGACAGACATCTGGAGAAAATAGAAGTTAACTGAAGAGCTTACACATTTAGTTCAGTCATGCTGACTCTTAGTGGGGGTAAGAGAAATAAATCCTTATGATCATTTTGCTGATGTTTTCAATGGAGCTTTAGAAAGTAGTGGGTTAGTAATGGTGTTGAGTAACTACATACACCCTCAAGAGACAGGAAAGTTAGTGCTTCTAAATTGGGTATTATTAGACTTCACAGAGGATAAATTAACTTAGAATCTGAGCCAGAATTCAGCTCTTCAAAGTGATTCAAACAGAAATTGTGTGACATTCAAAACAGGATGTATCGAATCTGAGATTTATTGCACAATTGTTATGTAACTCAGATGTTCTTTTTCTGTTTGACAGGCAACCCTGTGTCTTTACATTTTGTATCAGTGTTAAAATCATTTTCATTAGTTACAAAAGAGCAATTCAACAGGAACAGGAGCAACCTTAGCCCAATGCTTTCTACAACAATGTGCCAGCAGAGGGAGCCCAAGAGCCGTTAGGAAGGGAAAGGTGTTAAAGTGTCTTTCTCTTACCCATTTGTGTAGAGCTCTTATTGAATACCGACGGTGAGGCACACACAAAAGTCCATGAAATGTACACCTTCAAAGCAGCAAATCGGATTTATATTATGACATAAGAGTAATTGAAAATTCTTTTTTACACATTTTCTCAATTGACAGTCAACTCCAAGAGTAGGCCCTAACAGAACAGTAAGGTATGTGGCTGTCGTCTCCCATTCTTCCATCCCTGCCATTTCCGGTTCTTTCTACAGGCTTGGACTTTCTCCACCTGAGAAGTCCCTCTTAACAGTTTTGCAAAAACAAAGCCTTAAAAGATGCATTAGGCCCGCCTGTTGGGAAGGCAGACAGCTGGTGGTAGCAGGCTCCTCATACTCCGTCTGCTGTGTTGAGGACCAGTGGGGACACTCTAATTTGGAAGCCACGGTGCTGTGGCTGTGCCACATCCCACCAGATGGCGATCTTCTTTATCTTTAGAAAGACGCTGCCAGTGTTGGCTCAGCTCTTATTTACTTCTGCTCAGAACCCAGAAACTGGCGTCCACCAGTGTTTGGCACCAGGCTTCAGGGGAAAAAAAAAAAACCCACTCTTCCCTCTGTCCACAAAAAAGGGCACTGCCAATTATATTTCAGATAGTTAGGAAGCTCTTGGGCTCCCTCTACTGATACAGGAGTGACAAATACAGTATCTTCATTTCGCCATCTTGTAAAATTAGAATAAGAAGGTGATTGTAAGGGCTGGTCCTGTAGTGTTGAGGGACCTGGTGCTAAAGAGTCTAGCAAACCTATGAAAAGGGCCTAGTCTTTGCTCTGGGATGTACAGGTAGACTAAGAATGTGCACATATGCCTTGTGTGTCCTCTATGGAGAAATGAACAGTTCTTTGGTGCCCAAGAGAAGCACTAGGCAAAGATGGCCTGGGGAAGATGAGACTGTCTCTCCATGCTATCTTGGCCAATCTTCTCTCTGTGCTCAGGTTCCTAGTAGCATCCAGCTTTAAACTATGGTCTAAGACGATGGAACTTCAATTCATAGCTAACACTCACGCAAAGCTCATGTTTGAGCCTTGTAATTGTACTAGTATAGTGGAAAACAGAATTTTCATTTGGGTAGAAAAAGCAGAGCAGCAACCCTTTGTGGAAATCCTGTGTATTAAACTCAGAATCATCTTGTGTACGCACATCTCCTTAGCTAGAGTGAACCTTTACTATGGTTTATATCCAGATGGGAGGACTTCATTGGCAATGAATCTCCATTTCAGATGAGGAACCAGTGACATAGCCAGTTTAGATAATATAGACTGAGTTTTGAGAACTCTCTTTTTAAAAGTAGTAAAACTTTCACTGATTAATTTTTTATTTTTGGAAATATGGTGACACGGGTATGGGGATATGGAATTTTATGACAGCATCAGTGAGTTTGGAGTCCAGTGTGGAACATGCATAGCAAGATGCATAGTTGTAGTGCTTTGTGTAGCATGGGGATGAGGGACAGGGGACAGGGCTGAGATTAGTGGAGGGGAGTGAAGAGCAGGAGGAAGAGAGCAGCAGGAGCCAGAAGGATCAGTATTGTTGAGACTGAAGAGAGTGGGAGCTCTTGCATGATGACTGGGGATGGACTTGTGAGGTAGGGTTGAGACAGGCCAGGTGGACTGATGGCAGACACAGTTATACCTTCATTTCAGTGGTGCCTCCCTGGCAGCCATGCAGAGAATAGCAAAAAGAAGGAGACAGTGACTAGTTAGCAGGCTCCTCTGATGACCCGGGCAGAAGGTACTGCAATCCTGAGACTAACGAGTCTAGAGGGAGCGGGTAGAGTGCTGTGGTTGGTCCTAAAAGATTAAAATGAGCTGGCATTTTAGAAATGAGCTAGCAGAGAACCCATTCTCCAGGGCAGTAGAGGCTGTAAAATATTAGCAAAATTATCTGGTGTTGAGTGCTCATCTTTGGTTTTCCATTTTATACCATGTGGATCATTTTCGTGCTTAGTGACTAGTTCAGCTTTGCACTTGGTAATATGAGGATTGAATAGCACTTTATTTTGCACAGTTGTGCATTATCTATCAGAAGGAGTAGTACAGTTAGAATTCTTGTTTCTTTTCATCTTAATTTAGTGTTGGTGGGGTACCACCTATGCTCTCCTCAAGTATTATTTATCTATCTATGCATCTCCTACATCTCCTGCTAGGAAATTTCAAATGACTCAGAGTTATCGACCATTTTTGTGGTTTTCTTCCTTTGCCTCTTTCCTTCATCTGGGAAACAAAAGGCCAATTGGAACTTAAGAAAAACATATTGTGGAGAGGAATGTTAGTGTTAATAAATATAGGAAGTTTGATGATGTTCATGCAGATTATCTTCTTTTTTAAAATTTAACTTTATTTTATGTTCATTGGTGTGAGGGTGTCAGATCCCCTGGAACTGGAATTACAGACAGTTGTGAGCTGTCATGTGGGTGCTGAGAAGCTGGGAATTGAACCCAGGTCCTTTGGAAGAGCAGCCAGTGCTCTTGATCGCTGAGCCATCTCTTTAACCCCCATGTAGATTATCTTACTGCAGTCTGGTTTCTAAGAAAAGAAAATCTGAAACTTAATGTCTTTTAAGTGTGAATTTTTTTTTTTAATCTCCAACCACAGTCCTGTTTGTTTTGTGTTAATGCTTTCAGAAGTGGAGGAATTCCAACAGGCAGAGAGTACACCTGCAGCTGACACTGATTATCTTGTGGTGGGACAGCAGCAGGTCCCCCGGAGCTGCAGCACCTCTGACATCACTGAACCTTTGTGCTCAGATTCTTCTCAAGGTAAGTGGAATCTTCAGTTGTTTATTTGTTTGTTTGATTGATTAATTTTGAGACAGCGTTTCTCTTTTTTTCCCTGGCAAGCTTGGAACTTAGTTTGTTGACCAAGCTGGCCTCGAACTTGCAAGTTTCCTCCTGACTCCCAAGTAAGTACAAGGATCAATTACCCTGGGGCTGGCTGAGTCCTTAGTTATTTAGTACAAAGCCATAGATTTGGGCTTGGGATGGGGGTAAGCTGCAGGTAGTGTTACTTACTACATTTATTCTAAATATCTATTTCAAAGAAGAAGGGGGTGTTGCGTGTGTATATGTATTGTCAGTGTGGGTATGTGTGTATGTGCATATATCTGGAGGCCAGAGCTTGACGTGAGCTATCTTTCCTTGATGCTTTTCAACCTATTTATTTGTTTATTTATTTTGAAGCAGAGCTTTTCCTGATCAGAAAGCTTACCAGTGAGCTCTAAGGAGCCTCTTGTTTCCCTCTGCCCTGCCCCAGGTTACAGCCCCATGCTGCCTCATGCAGCTTTTTATTTTATGTGGCCTCTGGGGATCTGAACTCAGGACCTTATGCTTGCACAGCAGGCACTTTACCATTGAGCCATCTCCCCAGCCCAGGTATTTACTTTTTAATTTGACCGTAAGAATGTGACTTCTGGAAGTGAAACTGTTTTGCTATTGAATATATTTATCTAATACATACGCATCTGTAGTCCTCAAGTTTGGCATGACTGGGAACTAGAGAGTTATCTGAAGTGACTGGAGTAGGAGGGACAGAGAGTGTTCCCAAAGTGAAGAAGCTTAGCAAGTCAGAAGGCAGTGAGGGTGAGGCTCAGGGAAGAGCTGGAGGACTGAAATGGGAATGAAAGCTGACCAGCTGTGTGAGGGTTTATTAGCAGCTCGCAGACTTCACTGAGGTTGAAAAGAACCTTTTCAGAGAATGCATTAGGTTTGTCTAGCTTTCAACAGCAGCAGGCTGTGGAAGGTGAGGAGGGACTCAGCTGCTACTATAGAGAAAAAAACCACACTTCAATGTGTACAGTGTCAGTAAATGTCCTGGCTTTTTAGTTCCATGTCACTTTAGTCACCTTAGATCCGTGAGTCAGCCAGAAAACAACCTGCCTTGTTTGTCAACAGGTTAGCCTGTGTCTTCTAATATCAGGGTCAGCAAACGAGGAGGGAAGCTTTTTCTTAGAAACCCCCTTGAAATAAGAAATTATAGCAAATAAAGCTGAGAAAATATATTATCTGAAAATTTTCTATTCCTTAAAGGTGTTTGTATGGATTATGGTATATACTTTGTGGTAGAATATTTGCCTAGCATCCAGGAGGCCCTGGATTTAATACATAGGACTATCAGGAGAAACAAAGAAAAAAAAAATCCCTTAAATATTTGGGAGAATCTACCAGTTGCTTGGGGGTTTCCTATAAGAAAATTTTCAAATCCTTTCAAATTTTAACAAACTTCTCCTGAGAGAAGAAAAGCTCCAGTGACCTAGTGCACGGTCCAGTGTGCTTCCTTCCTCAAGAGCTCAGAGAGCATTGCTTGTTTGTTAAGAAAAAGGGTCTCCATTAGCCCAGGCTGGCCCAGAACTTGCAGTCCACTCCTTAGTCTCTGGGTGCTGGCTTACTGACATGCACCACTACACCTGGCCAAGAGGAGATTTTTTTTTTTTTTTCGAGACAGGGTTTCTCTGTGTAGCTTTGCGCCTTTCCTGGGACTCACTTGGTAGCCCAGGCTGGCCTTGAACTCACAGAGATCCACCTGGCTCTGCCTCCCGAGTGCTGGGATTAAAGGCGTGCGCCACCACTGCCCAGCCGAAGAGGAGATTTTTAAATACTCTGCCTACAAGAGTGTGTGTGGTAGTACATATGCTGCTTATGATGATTTATGTATGTAGATTTCAAAACAGCATGTTATATAAGATAAACATGCATTATTTGCCAAGTATACAATTTAAATTAAAGGACTATAATACCACTTTGATTTTCTTAATTTGGCTTTGATGTTTTTCTAGAAATTGGTTCTATTTGTTAATTTCTTTCAATTTTATTGGCTCCAGATTATTCTTCAGATGCTCTTATTAGCTTTTCTTAAATCTTTGCAGGCTCTGTGGTGGTATCCCCTTTGAAATCATTGAACCTGTTTCTGCTTTCTTGTGCTAGTCTTTATATTCAGGCAACAGGGCTGTCCTGTTGTTCCTTCCCTGTTATTTCACAGGCCAACCCAGGCAAACCTTTTGTCAGATGCTGTTCCCAAGCTCACCTCCCCAGAGTGATGAGTCGTATGCCCCTGTCCAGCATAGTGCCATTAAAGTGGGCCTATGAGCCACAGTGAAGTGTTCCATTTGCTCCAACTGAAGCATAGTACAGTCAGTGGGCCTGTGAGCCACAGTGAACATTTTCCATTTGCTCCAACTGAAGCTATCCATGGGCTATAGGCCAGGTCTCTGTGTAGACTGGACCTGTAGATGCTGCCCGTGCAGGCCCATAAGTCATGCATGAATCCTATGACATCTGGATACAGTGGTTTATCTATCTGTTTCTACCTCTGCCAGCCTGCCTGCCTGCTTATCCCCTATTTTACCTTCTGAAACATTCATTTTATCATTTTTTACCCCCTCTCTAGGTCAAAATTCACCAAATTTGAGCTCTTCAGATTCCAAGTCTGTTCAAGAGAGTAAAGGACATGTGAAGCGGGAACATGAAGGAATAACAGTAAGATTTCCAAGAGAAAACCGCTCTGTTGTTAGAAACAAGCATAAATTGTACCATGATAATAAATCTATGGATGATAGTTTTCATTTTTTTCCACTTAGATTGATTATAGGTCCAAATAATCTAGAAGTCACTTAAAGTTGTGCTTGCTTTCTATATAAAATACAGCCATTCTACAAAAATAGGGGGGAAGTAAGCATGATGTAGAATTTCCTGGCTGGTCCTGTGTTGTATAGTACACTTTGAGCAGGTATACTTGCCTGTAAAACCTTCCTTTCAGATTCCCTACCTGACACAGTTTTCCTAAAGCTCTGGTGTGGTTTTTGTTTTGTAAAGTAGGCATTTATTTAAAAAAAACATATAAAACATAAAGAAGAAATGGCCTATAATTCATTCTTTCAGATAACCTCTATTTGTGTTTTAAAACTTAGTGTATATTTATAAAAAATACAGAACAGAGGGGACCCGGCCCTGCTCTCCCTTCTTTGGAAGAGAGCAGAGTTGAGGTCCTGTGTGTTTGTGTTTAAGAAAGACGTGTGCCAGCTTGTCTGTATGGATGTCGCTTTTTGAAGTGAAGATGAACCCATTCCTGCCCACGGGCCAGAACAGTTCTGGTTCTGTTGCTTTGGCCACCAGTTCTGGTTTGTTTTTTAGTCCCTTCCTTTTGTGCCCCTTCACAGTGCCATGGTGTTGGCTATGTTTTCCTCTATCATCCACATGTGCATGGCTCCAAGCAATGTATTATGTAGTTTCTAAAGTTTCTAAAATATTCTGTAGGTTCATTCAGTTGTAGTAGAATACCCACATGGTATTATGTAGTAGTTAATTCATTTGAGTTTTCTCTGCTGTATGATATTCCATTATGAATATATCATTTATTTTTCCATTCTTCTGTTGATAGGCATCTAGATTCTTTCCAGTATTTTAGTTTTCTGAAAGATGTAGCTGTGTACCTTCTTAGGCTTTTCTCAAGATCTCCATGTTCAAATGTTTCTGTGTGACTGTCTAGCAGTAGAATTAATAAATTATACAATCAAGAGATTGTTCCTTCCCCAAATGCTTATACCCCTTTTATCTCTACCAGCAATACAAAGAGTTCTCACCATCACTTTGTGTTGTCAGACTTCTGAAATTTTTGCAGGGCAGCTACATGGAAATGGGATATCTTATTTGAATTTCTTATATTACTAATACAGTTTAAAATTTTCATGTTGATTGGCTGTTTATATTTCATCTGTGAAATGCCAGTCCGTGGCTTTTGTCATTTACTTTTTTTTCTTTTACTTGTATTAGTTCTTTGTATAGTCTGAATAGTGACCTATAAACTATAAATTGCTGGAAGATGCAGGTTGCCTCCTGATTATTTATTTATTTATAGAGTGTTCTATCTGCATGTATGTCTACATGCCACCAGAGGGCATCACATCACATTATAGATGGTTGTGAACCACCATGTGGTTGCTGGTAATTGAACTCAGGACCTTTGGAAGAGCATCCAGTGCTCTTAACCACGGAGCCATCTCTCCAACCCGCTTCCTGATTTTTTAAACCTTTGTGTTAACATAAGGGCCAGTGTTTACTGGTGCTCAGAAAATTCTGTAGTATATTAACTAGGAAGGTTTTGAGCAGCCCTTTGGAAGTCTGGGTAGAGTCTATACTTTTCCTGCCTAAACATTCCTGGGGAGCTCAGGTCTCCTGGAGACTTGTGGGACTGTGTGTACACTTGACTAGAGAAGCAAATAGAACTTCAAAATAAACCATTTCCACAGGATTGACTTGGCATCCCTTCTTGGTGTGTCCATTCAGCTGGGTCAGTTGACCAAGCAGAGAATATGAATTGGAGTTTCAGATCTTGAGAAACATATAACTTAATTATACTAGCTTGTGATCACATCCTTCAACAGGAAAACATCATTCAGTGTTTTGTTACTATTATTGCTTCTTTTATTTAAAAATAGGCTAGGAACTTAAGAGTATGGTAAAAGTTTCAACTTTCCGGTAATGAAAGCAGCATTTCTTTTTGTCTGAAGATCTTGGTTCGAAGGAGCAGCAGTCCTGCTGAGCTGGATCTAAAGGATGATTTACAGCAGACACAAGGAAGATGCAGGGAGAGACAGAAGAGTAAGTTCCAGGGCCTGCTGTAGTTTCTTCTTTTCTGAGTGGAGTGCTTATCTTGTCAGTAGGGAAGAGGTGGTTATGGAGAATATTTTTGATCCAGGAACTTAGAAATTATGTAGTTAATCCAGTTAGTAAAACAGTTCAGTCAGTTATCTATACCCAAGAGGCTTGACTCTCTATCTCTGGGCCTTTCTTCAGGCCTGAGGAACAAGAGGGATTTAGGGAAGCAGACAGACCCATAAGGAAAAACTACCTTTCCCACAAAGCCCCCACAGGGAAGAAACACAAAACTTCAAAGGTACATTGAACTCAACTCAGGCAAGTGGGTGAAGATAAATCTCACTGGAATCCTGAGACATTGTCATAGGTACGAAGCCTGGGCCCTGTGCTCTGTTCTCCTGTACTTAGAGGCCAGGTCTCCTCCTTGTCAGTATAGCAGAGTGGCAGCCCCTGCTCGCCCAGGCTGGCCCTCGATGGTGCGTAATGCAGCTCTTTCCATGCACTGCCTCTCTGTTGCCTGTAGCTCTGTGGAGGATGCACTGTGAGACCTAACACTTGGATCGTCTGCTTATTAAGACAACTTTTGCAAATAGAAAGAGAGTAGAAAAGCAGTAGAGACAGTGCTGCTGAGGACTGTCAGCACTGTTAGGAAGTAGAACTGTCTAGGCAAGCAGTTCTGCTGTCAAGCAGTGGAACAGTCTAGCTTGTCTTATGCCCAATTAAATAAATAACTGCGTAAGTCTTAAAATCTATGTATAATTACATTGTGACAAATTAAAACTTCTAATCTTTAAAGGAGAAAATTTCCAGTGCTGCAGATCTGTCGTAGTAGGACACCTCATTCCAGAATCTGCCAGAATGATTCAGCCTGGGTTTAAGTTTGAACATTGGGTTTGCAATAGCAGAGTAAATTTGCAATGCTGTGAAATCAGTTACCACCATATTCCTCCTGTTTCTTTGTCTCCTTATGTTGTGGGTGGATCTTAATGGGAACTAGGACTTGGTATAACTTTGTGGCACGTAGAATAATTGAACAAAGACACTGATCAGAATGCTACTTTATGAAGCCTTTTAATTCCCTGAACTTGGAAGATTTATTTTTGTTACTCAAGTGTCCATCAGGGACATTACTGAATGCCATCCAAGTTCTTCAGGTTCTGCCCAAACCCCTGAGCAAAGCCTGTCAGCTGTGCAGGTGTTGTTTCTTATGTGGAGATAATTTTGAACTTATCTTTATCTAGCTGCAGTCTCAATCTTTGGTTCTTCTGTGTGCCAGGTGACAGCACTGGTAGTGACACGGCTGTGGGCTCCAGCAATGAGACAGAGCTACCCATGAGCCCGTGGCAGACCTGTGAGGAGGACCCAGAACTCAGCACTCCCACAGACGCTGTGCCTGACTCTGATGCCCGCCATTGGTTACAGCTGAGTCCTACTGATGCTTCAAACTTAACAGGTAATTTGTGTGTAGAGGATTACTGCTACAAACAGGAGGTCCCAGAGTTCCCTGCTCTGGACACTTGAACCCTTTAGTACACAGTGCAATGAAGATGCCACTTTCAACCACATTGGATTTGCAGCTCTAGTCACCTGCCCACAATTGCTCTTAGAGTCTTGGATAAAATGAGTTTTGAAATCAGGCAGATGTGGGAGGAAGCCTGCCATGCTTATGACCATTATCTCCTATGCTAAGAAGTGATGGCACCCATACCAAGGCCTTTGGAGACAGAAAATAATATGATTTTAGCTTACATGTACCACACAGGTAGAACAAGGGGATTGGCTGTCTTATCATTCAATTTTTAATTATTATAAAATATTTGATACACACAGTGTAAAATTGTGACATATATGTGGGATAATGGGTCATATTAATAAAACGAACAGCAGTGGCCTGCTGCTACCCACTTTAATGTCGAGAAGAATACCTATCAGTAAGGTTCCAGAAACTCTGCTCAAACCTGTTATCTTCTTCCAGCAGCCTGTAATGCTAGCCCCATTTAAAAAAATATAGTAATAATTCCTGGAACTGTAATGTCAGTGTGTATATGAATATGATCTTGATTTACTTTTCCTGAATAAAGGAGTTATTAATTGAAAAACAAAAGCAAAAACTGAGTGTAGCTGTTCAAGCCTCTAACTCCAGCATTTCGGGCAGAGACAGGCGGATCCTGGGAACTCACTGGCCAGCCAGTCTAGCAGAAAAGGCAAGCTTTCAATTCATCAAAAGGCTCAGCTTTAAAGGACTAAAGTAGAGATTGGTAGAAGACATCCAACTTCTGGCTTCTTCATGCATGCACTAGACACCTGTACTCCCACACATGTACATGTGTCACCCCTATCACATATATGTAAATAAATAAGTGATCTAATAATTCCCTCTGGGTATAGTGGCGTACACTGTAGTCCCAGCATTTAGGAGTTGAGCCAGGAAGCACATAGGAAATAAAAACCCCTTTTAAATGCTAAAAATGACTCAAAAGTAAAAATAAAGGCTAAAGTTTTATTTTAAATATTTTTTTTAATCAAGCAAACTTTAATTTTCATTGTGATATAAAACCTAAGTTAACCAAAGTGTCTGTTATTTTTGGAAATCCTTTGTATTATAACATTAAAATGTACAATTAGCATAAATGGTATTGATAAAATTCTGTCAATACTATGAACTTATATAGGATTTAAGAATTCTAATTTTGTATGGCAAGCAGGCTAAATCTCTTCATTTCTGTTTTGTGAGATTCACGGAAGTCATACCATCCCACTAGAAAATACTAATAAGTGCCTGAGGTGGGATTGGCCTCCAAATGCTGTACTGTCTCTACCCTCCCCACTGAATTATGGCTAAAATAACAGTTGCAAAGCCCTTTGAACTACTGGAGAATTGTTAATGCATTCATGAAATAAACAGCTTGTTTAGGTCCAATATATAAGAGATCTCACCATGATGGTATTATAGATCTAGTGCTGAATCTGACCTGAATGTTCTTAAAGATGAACCAGATGTAATTATTTTTATTGAAAGGAAAGAAAATTGGATGAGTGCTTCTTTTGTTTGTCCTTGGGGAAGATTAGTTTGATCCTGTTTCAGAGTGTGCATCTGACTGCTTAGTGTGGTGAGCTGTGTAACTCTGTATGATGCACCATGTTGCCATGAGCTCCTCTAGATACTCTGTTCTTTGAAATACTAACGTGGAGAATCAGTACACACAGTTCAAGAGTTCATCCTGTCAGCAGTGGAAAGGACAAACTGTAATATGATGAGGCTTAAGGATTATCACCGTTCTGAACTTAACTCTCTGTTCTTAAGAGAACAATTTCTGCATAAATGGAAAAAATGAAACTTGTTAAAAAACCTGATTTTTAGGATGCAGAGAGAGCAAGCCATCTAATGGGGCGTGTGGCTCAGTAGTGGCGCCTGCCTCACATGTATGAGACCCTGGGACTGATCAGCAGCACTGCAGGAAACAGACAGAAGGTGCTGCGGTTTCTCACCGAATAATCCTGCCCATTACCAGTTGCTTAGAATGAAGTTAGGGGCCAGCTAATCGGCTACTTTCATATTTGCTTGCTGTTTAAATTATTTCATACTACTGAAAACAATGGCTCAGTTTATTATGTTCTAAAATACACTTGGGCCATATTTAATCAAGTATATTAATACATGTGAATAAAATGATGGTAATTAGCAGAAAGGTTTGTTTTACTTGTCTCTGGACACAGGAGCCACAGAAGGAATCTCCAGGTTCAATCAAGAGGCAGAGAGAGAAAACATGGGGAACAATCTCTGTTGTCTTTTCATTGGGAAAAACAAGGCAAGGCAGGGTGAACAGCCTGCTGTAAGTGACCTCAGCGGACTCTAGAGCATGAGGCTGTCTGGTTGACTGGGACCTGGACCTGGAGTGGGAAAGGCAAGAGTAGATGGACTTGCATGAGCTTATGTTGATTCATTCACATATGAAAAAAGCCATCCTCTCTCTGGTAAGGAGTTTGCTATTTTTACAGTTAAGGAACACTAGGAGGGGCAGTCCCTCTCTAATATGCAGGGTCTCAGCTGCCGTAGATTAAGAGTACAGGTACACACTAATCCACACATCAAGTCTGCTTAGGGAGTAACTCATGAGTGGGGTGTATCTGTGGCTCTGCTTCTACAGTCAGCATTGTTGCTGAGCTTATCCCTTACATAGCAGAGGAGCCTGCAATCTAGAAATACCAATTTAGATGCTGTGAGAAGTACAAAGATGAATGGGGCTGGGGAGATGGCTCATTGCATAAAGCACTTGTTGTGCAAGCATGAAGACCATAGTTGGATACCCAGAACCCACATGAAAACCAAGCAGGTATAGCAGTCGCTTGTAATCCCAGTACTCAGGAGACAGATGAGGGATCTCCAGGGTAAGCTTGTTATCTAGACTAGCTAGAATTGGTGAGCTCAGGGTTCAGTGAGTGATTTTCTTTTCCCTCAGTAAATAAAGTGGAAAGTGATTGACAAAGACCATCAATGTCAACTTCGGCCCCCCCCCATGTACTCATACTCGCACATGTGCTTCAACACATGTGTAAGCAAGCATACATACACATACACACCACACATATACATGTGACAAAAAAAGATGGAGTCATAGGTACTGATTTCTTAAGAATTATAAATGAGACAGAAGATGTGTCCTGATTATCACAAATAATGTGGTAAGTGCTGTGTAGTTTATATAATGAAAGTTAGAATCTTAGGGGTAGACTAAAAGTGATGGATGTAGAGTCAGAACGGATTCCTCACAGGCATGGAATCGTGGTGTGTGATGGAGGGTCTTCCACATCTAGCAGAGAAAGAATGTACTATTAAATGGATCCCTGTGTGACAAGTGTTTATCCAGGGTAGGGTAAAAGAGATAGAATCCTTAACTAATGCCATGCTTGAAGTCAGTTCCAGAAGTAGAGTTTTTAAATTTGAAAAGGAAACTTTAAAAACACTTGGAAGAAAATGTCTTCTAAACAAGAAAGAGAGAAAGAAAAAACCCTATGATCTTGGGGTAGAGAGGGTTTCTCAAATGAGAAAGGAAACGTGCCAACAGTTCAACCTAAGTAAAACTAAAACTTTTAAAATCAGAGACATTTTAAAAATTCTTTGACTAATTAGGACCCCAAAAGGCAAAGCCCAACTTTGATGGTCATTCCTTTCCAGGTTCCTATCAGGTTTAAATAAGATTTGATAAGGAACAGCCAATGTCTTGCTTCGGGTAGGAGGGGTCAGTGTCTTCCTCTGATGGATTATGAGCTCCTTCATAATCCATCATAATCCATAGGGAAAGCAGATTGTCTTTTGTGTGCACAGAATCCTCCTGACTCCAGGATGGTGTGCCCTTAGTAAATAGCCCAAATCAATGAACAAATATGCTTTAAGCTTCAGATTATTATTTAGCTAAAAATATCAATTAAATTTTAACCTTAAAATCATCAAATGTAATGTAATTTCAGATCTCTTTTATTTAATATATTTATCACTGACCTATATCCCAATGTCTCTTACGGGAAATCCTTTTAATTACACTTGTAGATGTGAATTGAACATTGTTTCCCTACACTGACGTTGATTTCTAGAAACAGTTCATCAGTGTTCTGTCATCACACACATTTTTGGTATTTTACCAGCCTCTGATATGCTTGTCCATCATGAAATACTGTAAAGAAAAGTAATAGTAAAAGCCACAGTGGCATGGGTAAATTGCCTTCTGAAGTTAAATTGGGATTGAGCAATAATGGAAGCAGATGAGGAAAGGGAGGAACGTCAGGCTGCCATGGAGCAGAATGCCTACTTGTACCCCAATCTTCTGATTCTGGAGGGGATCACCTAGCTTTTCTGCCTCTGCAGTTAAGAAGTTATCAAGAGCCTGAGAGGTGATATCTTTTGTTTTCAAAGAAAAAGGCTATCTTTGCTCAAACTCTGCCAAGCCTAAATAAAATGGCAGCTGTATGAACTGGCCCTTTGATCGTAAGTACCTATCTGCCAGTTAAAATTTGTTCAATATTTTCAAATTCCTAAATTTCATATTTGTCCATTATAATCATGTATGTATTTGGAGAAAGATGATAAAATTTTACATATGTTTAAGAGTCCATACGTTAGTAATTTTAAAGGCCTCGATAACATTTAGAAATAGTGAAACAAAAAGACATTAGGCTACTAATGAAAACAAAGCAAATGTTTGATATTTTGGAGGTGAACATGGAATTTTCTAAAATCTCTGAAATCCCCCTTTTTAATCAAGCGTTCCTTCATTGAGGACATGTCTACATGTAAAATGTCAGCATCTGCTCTGGAACTCGTGCCACCAGCCGGGTTATTTTGGGCAAAAACACTTTAGCTCATTAAATCTTCACAGTAATATTGAAAAAATGAACACCGTCCCTTGAAAACCTTCTAAAGAGCTCAACATATTTTGATAATGGGGCATGTTGCCT